AACACTGTCTCAAGTAATGTTATTTTTATCTCTTCTCCCTATCTCAGACTCACTTGCTCCTTTTAATTTTCTTTCCTTGCTGTTCGCTTTCTCTCTGTTTTTACCTCCCTGCCATCACCTCTGTTCTCACCCCCCCCCCCAAATCTCTCCCACCCCTCCCTCTCACGGTGTGGCGGTTCCTGTTGCTCTTGTTTTCACTTCCCCAGTAGTCTGGTGCGTGGGAACCAGCGTTTCTGCTGCAGTAATGTCTACGACAGAGTGTGTGTGCTTCTGTGACCGAGTCAGTGCGCTCTCAAGTGCTGTGTGTGTTTTGTGTGTATGTGTGTGTAATACTGCTGAGGTGACTCTGTATGCGTGTATGATGGTGTCGGTGTGTTTGTCAGTTTTGGGTTTTGACTGTGTGTACGCATCACTGTATGTGTGAGTATGTGTGTTTGGTTGGTTGGTTTCATGTCTATCTCTCAGGCAATCTCTGCTATCTCAACATGTCTATAAAAGGCCAGTATGGGACATCTGATGGAACTGAACTGTGCAACCGAACGGAAGTGTGTGTGTGTGTGTGTGTGTGTGTGTGTGTGTGTGTGTGTGTGTGTGTGCATGTGTGTGTTTTCATGGAAAGTATAGACGGAACAGGCATTAGTGGTAGGGATAGGATATAGCTGAGTAAGGAAACTGATGGACCGATTGCCAACTCCACCCTCTTACCCTACCCCTTGCAAGAATCCAGAGATGAAATTTAAGGACTAAATTAAATTCTGTGACACGTGTCAACATCTTGACACAGTTAATTTTATCTTTAATATATTTTTAAGGCATTTTGAGGTTTGATGTTTTACAAATTGATATATTATGGATAAACTATTGACAAATATTTAAAAAATAAATGCATTGCTATTTCAAGTGAAACTGTGTGTTTATTCCACAGGTCAATATTAAGACACATTTATTGTATGTTTACATCCTGTAGTTTTCATTTGTGTCAGAGGGGAGTGACAAAGCTATATTCCTCTTAGCTGAAAATTTACGAAGTGTAGCTAAAATACAGCAACGTAAGAATATGCTATTTGAACAACAATGGTTTTTTCATGTCATGACTTTGCTGAAAAGGGTATAAACGAGGCAACAAACTAGGAGCAGGTGCATTTGGATACAAAATTGACAAAAAGATTATGGATGAATATACATTTATGTTCACATTTACATTAATTCATTACATTAATATGAAACCATATTTTACTTTACTACTACTTATTACAAATTTCTCTTGACAATTAACTGCTGGTAAGTTCTCGCAGCCACACTGCATTTAGTCTTCGGATTCTTCTGCCAACGTTTTTTTTTTTTTTTGAAATAAAGAGTGTTTCTCTACTGTTTATCCCGTTCATCCTGTGTGGAAAACCTCTGCCGTGTTTATTTTATTTTGTTTTATACTTTTTATAGTATATAGCACAGAACAATGACACATACCACAACACTGACAGCCAAGGCTATTTTGCAAAGCCCGTCTGTAGATGGGCCTTTATAAATATACATAACAAAGTCCTGTTTTCCTACAAACAGACATGAGTTTTAAGTTGCCGTGATTCTGCCTCAAATATTATCATTATATTAATATTACCTTCAAACCGTCAAACACCAGATCATAAAAAAGTCATGCTGTGTTTTTTTTTTCCTTTTTTAAACCACTTATACACTGTATGCAGTAGGCATAGCCCTCCTACATCTCCCCTTCACTGATGGGGTCTCCATGGTGGACACACATTCCTATGCCTCTAAAATCTCTGTGTGGCCTATTGATACAGAGACAAACATTAACCCTTTCCCTGCACAGTCTTTAAAAACATGTACACAGGTCTGTGGTTAATCTCCTCTCCCCTGTCTGTTTTACTTCTCTTCCCTCATGACATTCATCAGTTGTATAAGAGCATGAGGGAAAGACAAAGGGGAGAAACTAACCCATCCTTGGCTTATGACAGAGCTCTACAATCAGTTAACAAAGGGGTTAACTTCGCCTGGGTGGCCTGTGGAGCAGCCCCCAGGGTGAAACTCTCTCTCACTCATTCACTCAGTCACACCTATACACAGAAATCATGTCCAGCTTAATCTGGAATTAACTAGTAATCTTTTAGTGAAATACATTAGTATAAAATAGAAACTATAAACTACTATTCAAACAGTAATCAACTAAATTTTCATATGAACTGCACATTGTATTTTATAACCTGTATCCATAAGGTAAAGTATTTGAATATACTCAATTTATTTTTGGTCGTAAATTTTAGAAATTACACTTTTAGATAATAATGTTTAAAATATTTGATTTCAGAAAATTATCAAGGAATAATTAAAAAGGCAAAGGCAGGGCCTTTTCAGTTACTTGTCATTTCCATTCATCCTGTTTAAAGCAGATGGTCATGCCCTGGTTGAGGTTGTAAACAAATTACCCACATCCGAAGATAAGGGTTTTCTCAGGTCTACTGCCTGAAATATGGGAAAGATCTGAGGCTGAGATGCTACTATTATGATTTTAGAGGCCACATTTGGCCTTCCTCTGGTGATAATATATCAAAGCAACTTCCCCTTGAAGTGGTGTCAGGAGTAACCAATAAACTGGGAAGGTAGGTGGGTAGGTGACCATATGGCCACTGATTGTTTCAGGCAAATTTTTTTGGTTTGTGTGTGTTTGTGGCATCATCATATCATCAAGACAGGAGGTAGCATCAAGGTGGTCCAGGTTTTAAACATATTGTGCCTGACACAAATGCACCCAGTGGTGTATCTTGACACATTTAGGGACCCCTACTAGGAGCATACCAGAACACCCAAGTTTAGAAACTGTGCTACAGATACCCCTCTCAGTGACCACCACTGCCGCCACACACAAACACAAACACAGCCGTCGGAGCACACACAGGTTTCCCTAAACAGCCACCCAGGGAGATCTCTACAGGTCAGGTACCATAAATCCAACATTCGATAGCAACTAACAAACATCTTTTCCGGTCTTTACAAACTTGAACAAATAAGAATTACAATAATGCTGTACATTCATACGAATCACTGTTCCTTTGATTGAAGAAAGAAGAACATGATAACGAAAGGCTTTTGAGGAAACTTATAGATTAAACTGTATGCAGTTTCCTTTCTCTTCCAGTTTCCTTTCTCTTCCAGGTTTTAACTTTTTTCCAAAGAGTTCTTTTTTCATTCATCCCCTCCATTTCAACACTTGCACAGATTCATTTAGTGGTGGCAGAAAGCTAAGCAACATAACCCAGACATCCCTCTTTCCAGCCACATCCTCCAGCTCCTCCTGGGGGTCCTGAGGCACTCCCAGGCCAGATGGGATATGCAATCCCTCCAGCATCTCTGGGGTCTGCCCCACGGCCTCCTGCCAGTTGGACATGCCCAGAATACTCCCACAGGGAGGAAACCAGGACGTCTGCTGATTAGACAACCAAACCGCCAGAACCGGCTACCTTCAACATACAGATTCAGCAGCTCTTTCCGAATGGCCGAGCTCCTCATCCTGTCAGTTATTGTGAGCCCATTTTGGCCACTTGTGCTGGATTGTTGTGGTGATAATGACTGAAAAAAAGGAGATTGCAGATACAACACCAACATTACTGCCAATGCCATACCAGTCTGCCTGCCAATCTTTCACTCCATCTTAACTTCACTTGTGAATGAGACCCCAAGACATAGTCCAATAGAGGTGAAAACAGGCATTCTCTCCCCCTAGGCAACACTGGAAAAGGAGGCCCCAGGCCTTATACAGGAGTTTGGTTCCAGAGCATGTCGAGGTTAGCCAAACTATATCAAGTTTGTGTAGCTTCACCTTCTGAACTAGCTTCAGCTTCTTCCCCAAAAGAGAAGTCACATTCCACGTGAGAAGAGCCACTTTTTGTAGCCAGAGTTCAGCATGTCAAGGCCCTCACCTTTGTCTTCTGCCTCAACTGACAACACTCCAAACAAACAAGTACAATAGAGGGTATTTTCTTTTCCTTTTCTCCATTTCCTTTTATCATACATTAATTTCTTCCTCTTTCATTCAGGATTACACAATACACCACATCCACCACAAGATAAGTTCTCACAATTCATGAAATTAAGCAGTTCAGCAGTGCTTCATAACCACAGAAATATTACATGGGTATTTGTGTTGCTTCAACTTCTCACTGATTTAGGACCTCAAGCTTTTTTCTCTTTCTCACTGAAAGTTTTTGTCTATGTAAGCATCAGCTAAATGCCTAAACCATAAATGTAGTACATGGTATGTAATATGTTGGAATGATTATTATCATCCTCCTCCTCCTTATATTATCGGACTGTTCTGTCTTAGGGTGTGTTCAGACTGAATTTATCCCTGCATGAAAAAGCATAGGCTCTTCATTCATTTGAATGAGGCCAGTTGATGGTGCAGCGGTGGTGCTGACACAGAGTGCTCTAGCAAAAAGTAACTATGTATATACAGTTATCTGGCAAAAAAAAAAAGACAACTTCTGCTGCAACACAATGCAACATCATCTGGCAAGTGCTGTGTTGGCCAATCACATACATCCAAGCAACGCATAATTGCCGCTGTGATTACTTTCAAGACATAAAATCCTGTCTGACAGTATTACAAACTGTTGTGAAGTGCTTTGGCAAATGATACGCCCTCAAATTCTGTTACTCAAACCTGGACTTCCTGGATTGTATTTCCCTGTCTCACTGTTACCTGAAACAACATGCCCACCTCCAACGCAAGCCTTACGTTGTTTTAAAGCTGGGCTGTTTTCAGTCTCAATCAACACTTAGTCTTTGGATGGTGGACTTCATTATTCTCTGTCCTCACTGTGCTCCACTCACATTTTCCCATGTGCAAGTAATGATAATCTTTGACATTATTTTAGTTAGAAGAAATATGCAGACCTCAGGTAATCCTATATCATTATATGATATCCTATATTACACAAGGTTAATTTTATGAAGACATTCAGAACCAACTTGAACTTTCCTACCTGGCAGCGGCTGAATATATCACTGGGAGTGGGCTGGACGTTGAAGTGTTTGAGGACTTGAACAGCCTGGTCTCTGGCCTTTTCAGAACAGTCTAGGGACAGACAGCGACCCTCACCCACCTGGGAACGCAACTAGAAATACGGGAAGGCAGAGGCAACACATGTATACTAGCAAACAAGGAACACAGGCAAAATGCATCATGAGTTTGATCAAACAAGATTTGTTCCTGACTTCACATTAGTTACTACTTACACTTTGGAATGGTTGTCCACATGTGAGTATGACACGGCCTTCGGCTTGTGCTAACTGACACACAACAAATATACATCAAAACAAAATAACACATTTAATAAATGCGGTACTGCTACTATTGGTCATTTACAACATTTAGTATTTTTGTTTGACTTAATCTTCTTTCTGTATGAATTTATTGTCTCTGTATGTTCTCAGTCCAGACTACTAACTCACCTTTGCAGCTACTCTGTGATCATCAGTGTTCTCCAACATGACCACGTCAACTCCTAAACAGCGCAGGTACCTCCCGAGTCCTTGAAGCATATTGTCGCACACCACCCGCAACTGCTGGGGGGGCAGAGGGGGGGAATCTTCTGAGGGCTTCTTGCCACACAGGAGGTCTTTCTCTGTGTCAGAGCGAGGGGGACTGACCCTTTGAGCCCCCTGAAATTCCTAAATGGACAGAGACAATAATGTGATACTTAACTGATCCCCACAGGGGGATTTTCTTTTCACATTCACCACAGTGCAGGGAGGTCAAAGCACAGGGTGAGCTATACAACCGCACCCCTGGAGCTCATAGGGACTGCTCAGGTCTTGGTCAAACACATATTGTCCCTCCCTGCAGGTTGGATGCTCAAACCCAGGTTCTTCAGTTGGGAGTTTTTGGCATTCATTCACAAGACTCAAGGTTATTGCATGCTTAAGAAATGGTAAATATATTAGCACAATAGTTCTTTAAAATGAAAAAAGTTCTTTATAGTTAACAGTTGCAGTCTGTGGCAAGGACTAAATTCAAAACAAACACCTGAAAGGAACATGTTTGAACAGAAATGTTTCTAATGACCTTAAACCACGATACACTTCTTAGAGTCAAAATGTCAAGAACAGGTTAAGTCGTAAATGGATCCTGGCTTCTACATATCTCATTAGTGAAAGTTCCTCTCCTGATCTTAGCTCATCTGTCTCCAAAAACATGTGTGTCTGACATCTATCCAGAAAAACTAGAGAGGAAGAAAGTAAGTTTTCCTGAGCTACATATTATCTTCTTATCTACCTTGTGACTTTCATTTAGCTATCTTCATATCTTCATGTTCATGGCAACCTCATAAAAATAAGTAAACTCTGTCAATAACTTAAACTGCTATGAAAAAAATGGGAATTGACCCCTTACCTCTTTACCAAGGGCCTGTTTCTTCTGCTTGGCCTGTTTCTCCTTCTGCTTCTTGTCTCCACTCTTCTCTGATTGGCTTGAAGAGATGCTGCGCAGGTCAGCTGGCAGCCCAAAGGATGCTGGGTTGCTGGAGAGGACAGAGTACACATCCAGCAAACAGTAGGCATCTGCCACTAGAAGAAGGTTAAGAAACAAGAAAGGGAAAAAAAGAGGAAAGTGGGGGGATTTATTGGTTTGCAGTTCGTCAGGGGATAACAAAATAATCTTTGATATTCTATAGTGAAAAGAATAGCGACCATCTGGCTCCCTGTCATTGTCTGTCTCTGCATGCATAATAGCTTACCTGCATATCTAATTTGGCTGATGCGCAGTGGACGTTTCTCCCAGTTGGACATCTGTTCCGTCTTGTCCAGGGGCTTTCCTATGACCTGTTGTACCAGTAGACTGAGGCCTTTCTCTGCAGAGTCCTCTCCAACCATCACCTCTTTAGGACCATTTTGAGTCCTGTTGACCTTACTACTCTGGATCTATATAAAGCATCACAGACAATAAACTCAAAATGAAATGGCCCAATGTTGAATATTTCTTCTCTAAAAACCTGTTTCCAAGGATGTAATTCAAGGAAGTTTATGAATTTTAAATGATCTAGAATTTGTGACAATGCAATGATCCAGGCAATGTATTTTAATTAGTCTCTACCTTCTTATGGCCTGCAACAACATCCTGTTTTAACCGGACATTCCTTGTGATTTTACAAAATATACCTTGCATTCCTCACATCCTGCAACATGCCGCCTGCTCCAGCAGATGGTGAAGAAACCTCATCAGTTACTGGCCCATGTTGTCATTTCCACATTCCTGTACCCCTCAGAGACTGTGACTTCAGCTACATATATCTCAGGCAAATTACTGGGACACAGCAGCAGTATGTACCCGGGCTATCTTCCAAATATAGCCAAGAACAGTGTTCACTATAAACACAGCAAATCTGTTACAACCTCTAGTACAGTATCCCTGGTTGCATGGGACACAGTAGTCAACAAACACTGATGCTTGCCGAGCTGAGCCAGACTAAGCCTGCTCCGTTCTTGGCCGCCGTAAGTACCAAAAAACTAACTTGCTCAGAAAATCAGAATAGCTTTATCTTACCCATTCTGGAGTTACAACTACAATACACTTACAAGCATGTATATGTTGAATGTTGTAATAAATTGAAAATAAATGTGTTATAAGTGTTCGAGAAATATAAGGTTATTGTCAAGCATGACGTTTGCTTCTTTTTTTAAGTTTATTAAATCAGAACCAAAAAATATACCTGTTCAAATTAAGGAAAAACAGCACTGAATTTAGTTTAGAAGCCTTTTAGTTATGTGATTGACAAGATAATGTTACCTTCTGGTGTATACTAAGAAGATCAAGTACCCCCTCCATCTTCAGTGGCTCCTCTAAAAACTGGTGCCAGGTGGCCAAGAGAGACTTGAGATCTCCTGTCATACCGTAACCTAAATTGAAATAAAAAGGGGAAATGTGAGGGACAGAAGTATGTATAAAAAAAAAAAAAAAAAAAAAAAAAAAAATTTAAAAAAAAAAAAAAAAAAAAAAAAAAAAGTCTTAAATACAACAAGACTATGATATCAAGACTGTTGCTTACCCAGTTTAAGGACATTTCTTTCAGAGAACAAGCTCCTGATGAAACTTATAGTATCTGGGTGTTGACAGAATCCATTTGCACAGAGGTCTAATAAGAAAACCTGGTCAAAAACTGCAAGCTGTATCAGGGCTACTTGCTGAGTTGAGATGCAGCCAAATGTAGGCTGCCACTCCATGTCAACTCCTACTATACCACCTTCCTAGGAAAGGATAAACAGGAGACGATAAGTCAGCTACAAAAAATTGTTTTTTTAAAAGAAAAACTAATTAATTAACAGATTTTCACTAATGGTTGCAAAATGACACAAAGAGGGCAACTATTTTCTTTTTTGCTGGCATTTACTTCTCTGTACCTTCAGCACAATGTGTTGACATCTCTGGAGAGCTTCTGCCGTGTCCACAAAGTGAACCTTGTCTTTGGTGAGTGGCACCTGGTAGAACTTCTGACAATGAAACTGAGATGGCGTCCACTCCTCAGTTTGTGCTGAATCACTCAGACATATCTGTCTGAGCAGAGGCGAGACATTTGTGTTATTGTGAGTGTGCACGTTAAAAGGAGTATTCATCAGTGAATGTACAATGAGAGTGGATAGATAGTTTCATTAGAGAAACAGAAAGGAATCACAGAAACAAATAAAAACAACAACAAATTAAAATTAAATATTATTCAACGACTCACACACCACACTGCATTAGATCTTATGAATTAGCATGGTGTCTCAATGAAATATGGGATATGTGGCATCTTTTACATGTCACAAAAATGTACCACTTGACGTTTCAAACTCTGGTAAAAGCTTTAACCCAAATTGAGTCTAATATTTCAGTCCACACAATCAATGAAAATAGTCAAACATAAAATTTGGCACAAGATGTCTATAAATAAGATACATTGTTAAGCAGCTTTGAGCAGCTAAGAGATGTAAATCAGTAACTTAACAATAGACTTGCAGTGTGTGAGAAAGGGGATGTGGTGAACAACACTTCAGCTCCATGTTGCACTTCTGGGATAAAACTTCAAGGCTCCAACTATTCCTCTTTATATAAATAAATACAGACTGTACGTGCCACAAGTTGTGTAATAGGATACGTTTATGCATGTTTGGGTCAACTTACTGCAGATCAGGTGGTAGACTCTGCTGCGTTTCCCATACTCCGCAGGGCAGTCGATATCTGGGGATGTTGTATCTCAGTGACCACTGAGAGGCTTTCTGGAGACCACAGTACTTCACCAACATCTCCACCAAGTTGATCTGCAGCTCAAGATCATCTGCCACTACATACTATATATAAATAATACACACATGCAATTAAAACAAACAAAACATCCTGCATATCTTATTGAGACTATATATAAGTACAAATTATCTACACATCATATCTATACACATCTATAAGCACAACTTACCTGAACATGGTCACTCCAGTTATCCTCTGTCATGCTTTTCTAAAAGAAAAATAGAATGAAATACTGATAGAAAAAAAGGATACAAAATCAGTATTTAATTGTTTCTGAGTAAAATTTCTATCCGGGTAATCTGACTAAGATTTGCTGAATTCAAAATAGACTATATTGATACCTGCTCAGTCTCTGCCCCTATTTCACCTACAGTTTTTAATATCCAGGAAACTCCTCCAAAGATCAGAGGCTGATATTAATTCTAACATCTAATTTGTTGTTTGCAGAAAACATCTGACAGTGCTCTTACAATCAAAAGTAAAAACTTGAAAGAAAATCAAAAGGGCAACAATATAGTGTATATGTAGTGCAGTATTAAAAAAAAAAAACTGTAATTTGCACATTTTCTTTCAACTGAATGAAGCAAAACTGAAATAAATGCTCAATATGGTCTTGGAATTTGGTAAAGGGGTGAGACTGCCAACAAATCAGTGAAGAAACCTGATAGAAAAAGGAGGAGTTTAATCAATTTAATTTAATTTAATCAATGTTGACGATGGTCTTAAGCAACAAAATATTACACACGACTATGAACAATACATTCAACAACAAAAAATACATGTCATAAAGACAGTGCGAAAAGTGTGTATTTTGGACACTAAACACAAAAGGATGTGTGTTTTCCATCTCAAAACGATTACCATACTAAAAATACAAGACACTAATGAGTAGCCTGCTTAAATCCCTGGTATATATTATTATGTTTAATGAAATTTGAAAGTGTGCTGCATCCTTTACCTCCACAAACCTCTTGTACATGAGGAAACGTAAAGAGTTCAGTCTCCTCTTGTGAAGAGCATTGGGACACAGTCCTGTGTCAAAAATAGGAGATCACAATCATTTCTGCCTGAGACAGACACAAAATACATAAAAAACTGCATGTGCCTTGTCACACACCTTGTTCAATACTGAATTTCTCCACAAGTCGAAAGATGTGTTTGATGAGCATTTTGGGCTGGATCTGGCTCATGCAGTGTTTGGACAGAGAGAGGCGAGGAAACCGCCTGTGGTAACACAACATAGATTTTTACAGCGGCTCACTCGTGCTTACATGTACAGTACAGGTTCTCATACATTCACACACGCTCCATACTTGCTTATCTCTTCTACACTGAAGCTGGGATGGCACCAGGAATCTAGCAGCGTGACGAGTCGTTGTTCGAGATGATTGTGGCCTGTGACGTAGGATTCTGCCAATGACAGCTTATCCTGCAAGATTAGCGGTACGCAGATCTGCAGAAGAAAGTGAAAGATCACAGTTTGGAAACGTGTTTACCGTTTTAAAAAAGAACTGTTTGAGAATTTCACATCTAACACATCTAAAGTATCAGCTGAAAATATTCATCTCACCTCCTCCATATTCAGTTCCTTCTGTAACTTAAACTTGATGCAGAGCACCGCTGCCTGTGAGAAACAGAGAGAAATTCAGCATTGCTATAGAAAATAAATCTTGTGTATCAGTATTAATTTTACTTTTTACATTTTCATCTGAAATCTTTCTGCCATTAAAAAAAATTATCCAAAAAAATCACCTCTTTGTAGCAGTTGAGGGCCTGCAACTTCACAATGTGCAGTCGGAGTATTGCTGGGTCCAGGGAGCTAAGGTGGTAGATGTAAATGAGGCTCTCTACAAAGCTAGGCTGGGTATCTGTTAGTAAACTCAGGGCACGACGCTGGAGCTCCAGTGCTTGCCGCTCTGAGAGTGAACTCAGGGTCACCTGGTGGAAGGACAAAAACAATGAGGAACCAAAAAATTTACAAATATTATCTAAAAAAAAAAAAGTATCTTGCTTTATATAGAGACGGAAAACATGAAGGACAGCATAAGAGAAAAGCCTGGAACATAAAGCAATAATTGTTGCTGATACAAACAAAGTCACTCATGAGACAACACTGTAACCACTGGAACGAATCATGGTGTTGTGGTAATAGTGGTAATAGATGTGTGGCCATGAAGGTGGCAGGATGTTGGCTCAAGTCTGAATTCAGTGAAGTCACATTAATGGCTACAGTCAACACAACTTTATGGTTTAAATATCCGGATATACAGCATACATGTACAATGCATATCTTCAGCAGGTTTACAAACGTGGCAGTGTAATAAATTTTACATATGAAAGTAATTATTATTTCAACACACATAAAAATTTAACATGCTCTTCAAGCTACTTATCAAGAAGAGATACCTGTAAGAGGTATCTTTTCTGTAACCTGTAACCCTCTGCAGGTTGCACAGGTGAAAATAAATACTTTTTTGCCTAGAAATGGTGCACATCCGCATGTGCACTAAACAGTAGAAGTGCAGAACTGCCCAGAAGTGTCTAAAACTGCTGGAACTGTGACTCTGTAGTACATTACTTTGATGAATCTCAGCTACCTCAGAATGGTCCTTCATCCATGTCTGGAATTCCATAAGGATGTGATAGCCGAGGGTGTGGCTCCGACTCTTCTGTTTGCCTGGACAGCTCTCCAGGATTGTCAGTAAGGCCTCCAGAGGCTCAGACAGCTTTGAAAATCCCTGGAGGGCTAGCAAATGTAGCTGTGTGGGTATATAGAGAGAGAGACAGAGTGGTAAGACTTTTAGAGAAGAAAAGCTGATTGTATAAAACATTACAGCTCTGTCTTTTTAATCTTGGTTTTCAGAAGGTAGTTCCATTCAAATCTGAACCCTACTGTATGTGCATCATTCATATTACAGCCACACAGTATTTACTGAAAAATACAACAATCTATGCAGACTATTGATCGTGTTAAACGCAATCTCAAGAAATCTCTCTACATTTGGAGCCAAAACACATATGTAGTTTGAAACACTGAGAGCGAGTTAGAGTGACCCCTTTTGAAATTTACAAAAAACATTTGTTTTTCAGTGTAAATAGTAATGTTAGAGCAGGTTATTCAAGGAAGACCCAGCTGTAGATATTATATGTTCCACTTTTTTTCTAAATCATCATCTGTGGGTGAGCCATAAGACAATTAGCATGCAAAGAGAAATGGCTAACTTCCCTCTCTGGGCACGGCAGACACACGCGCTTGTGACACATTTAGGGTCTCAGATTAAGAATGAAAACTCTGGCATTAGAAACTTCCTACATGAGAAAATAATATCTGTGTGAGAATGCCTTGGGCTGCGTCTTAATTTGCAAAACAGATGTCATCCACTCAATATCCTCCTCACACAGATCTCAAGTTCATTCAGTGCAACGCAAATTCCTTCCTTCCTACTGACAGACACTCTGGTTTCCTCATTAACACACACACGCAGTCACACACTGGAGAGCTTCATTTAAACATGTCCATAACCAGGCGACTCTCTCTCTCTCTCGTTCCTTACTGTGCAAGTGTGTCTTGTAAGAGACACAAAGACTCCATCTCTCTACCTTTGTAAACACACACACTCAATATTGCATGTATGAAACTGACACATGCTGTGAAAGTGACTCTCACCGTCTGCAGATCTTTCCGGTTCCATGGCTCAAAGAGTTGGTCTCTCAGCACGGCAGGGTCGAGACCTGGGGGATCACACACACACACACGCACACGCACACGCACACGCACACGCACACGCACACGCACGCACACACACACACACACACACACACACACACACACACACACACGCGCATAGATGAGGTGGGGTTTCACTCTGACCTTTCACCTCTGTCAACCTGTCAAGGAATAAAACCTATTGGCCTCTAGTATTTTAAGATCCTGAAGACTCAAAAACTAAAGAATTTTGAAAGAAGAAAGTTTGAAAATCAAACATACTGTATGCAAGATGTAAAACCTCTAGAGCTAGGGAACTGTGATTCATTAAAAAATTTTTAGGCTATGTACTAAATGGGTCCTATAATTAGAAGCAACTTAATTTTTCTACAATTTACATTTCCACTCAAGCCTACAATGACATTTACTTTGTCTCATTAGCACAATTAATATTGTTTATCAATTCCTCCAAACACTGTTTCCTGGTTGTAATAGCTTTTACCTTGCTGTGTAAGTATAAGTTTGGTACAGGTCATAATAACATTTCTGAAAGCCACGTTGATTTGCCCTTGCTCTTAAGATCTGGTCATGTTAATGTGATGTACTGGAAATATTGTTTGTTAAAAACAGGCATAACTGAGTAGCCATAATGTCAAATATTATTTCTTTAACAGGCACAACAGAGCAGCCGTAACATCGGATTAACAGCTGAGGCTGGTTGGATAGTAGAGGAACCCGGCATTAGCTCTGCATTCCATCTGAATCTACAGCCAAAATACTCAAGAGAAGACTCCCAGGGCAAATTTTTTGGAAGGCTACAGTGGGTAAAAGGGGCTGGAAACAAGAGATGTGCATGTGTGTTTCACGTTTTGTGTCTATCTGCCTGTGCATGTGTTCCACTGAGCCTTCCCAAAAGCTTCAGCTTCTTTCTCTGTCGCTCATGCTGTGTGGGCTCCGCTGTACCTGCCCCCCTACCTCCCTCCCTCCTTCCCAGGGCTAGTTTTCCTGTTCTCCTCTCCCTCCCTGCAGCAGCCTCTCTCGATTTTGTCTCGGATTTCCCCAGGAAAGGGCTATGCGGTGGTCATGGTGTAAAAAATACAGTCTTCCTGATGCATAGCCTGGGAAAGCAGACCAAAAGGCCTCTCCCTCTCTCTACGTTGGCCTCTTTCTTTACCATCTCTCTACGGGCTTGACACTTTTTTATCTTCTTCATATTGCCTCTTAAACATATACTTTACCTGCCTGAGAATATTTTCTTATATTTATCTCCCATGTGTACCCTCTCTATTTCTCACCACTGCACCAATTTTCTCAGCAAAGTCACCTTAAGTCCCATTTACTACACTTCCACTCTTATAGGATTACCTCTAATTTTGTCTCACTTTCATGTTCATTATTTAACATTTGTTTCTGAGTTTTCCTTCCTTCCCTGCAAGTTTCTCTGGTCTTTGTTTCTCATTTTAAAACAGCACAGCACAGCAAAGAAAAAAATAATCTCACGTTCTGGCCCATTTAGTACTAATCATGTATACTTTACATTAATGACAGTCACAAGTTTCTCTTCAGTATCTCATCATGATGCTACACCTCTGACAGGAACATTACAGCATGTTATGAAAAATGGTCAATAACAGCGTAGACTGGATTTGTAGTAAATGGACTAATGTGCAAAAAGACTTCTATAGCTCACTGAAATGTGAATGGCAAAGTTTCATTTGCTGTTCTCTCTGGTTCTCTGCTGTTATAAATCCCACTCCAGCCCATTCATCCCACTGACGAACATGCGTACGTGCACAGGGACTCACACAAACACAAACAGCACAACCCACTTCACTTCACCCTCACTGTTTGTATGAGGAGAGGACAGAGAAGTAGCAGAGAGGAGAGGAATGTGGAGCAAGTAGTTTCTTTATAGTCTTGGATGGTGGGTGAATGACAGAACTGGAGACTCCCCATTCATTACAACATAATAACCCCATCACTGCATACAATTACATGGACACACATACAGTACATGCACTCATTCACCTCTGGGAAGGTGAGAGGTTCTTTTTATTTTTTGACACAAGAGAATTTGAAATATGAGAAAATACTACATCTTCCCTAAGTGGATTTTAAAGTAATCTGACACCATCCTTGTCTCCCACTCTTTAAAAAATAATAAAAGTCACACTTCAATTTCAGTAAAATTAGACAGAGAGGCAGGTCTGACAGCCTGTTGCCAGGCAGCTGCCAAAACAAAGGAAACACAAAGATCAAGTGTCTAAATGGGGCATTTGGTGTCACTACAGCCACCAGAACAGCTTCAGTGTGACTTGGCAGAGGTTGTGCAAGTGGCTCAACTCCACTGGAAGGATGCCACAACATTCCTCTACAAGTGCTTCTCTTCTTTTGTATTTTGTTGTAGGTGCCAGAAAATGCTTTCAACAGGTGCCATTACAGAATCTTGAAAATGAGGAGAGTACCAGCACTTGCAGAATTTGATTCTTATTAAAGCAGTGTTTGCATGTTAATTACCTCTCCAGAACTGACCCACTACAGCTTGGTTTCTGTGCCAGTGTGGACTGACACATACCTACAGGCTCTTCAGCGAAAAAAAGGATGATGATGCTGATATCATTATTAACCCCTTGAGGTCCTTGTGTTCACAAACATGTAAATAAATCTGCAAATCTCTACAAATCAGATGAGTGAGTTAGTAACTATACATAGGTGACAGAGTTATCTATAAAATGTATTTAACATTTATTCTATCAAAAGACCTGAGATTATTTTCATAACAAATCAAATTTATGAAATGAAGATGTAAACAGTCCAAAGGAAGGATGATTTAGCATAGTCAGGTAGCAGTTTCAGCACAACTATCTGCTGGCAATGACTCTATCAAACTTGTTGTTTTACTTAATGTTAACTCCTGTGATATTCAGAGTTAAGGTATTTTGTTTTCTGCTCAACTGCTTTTCTCCAGATGTTAGAATAATTTAGATAAAATGTATGTGAACACACATGCCTAACAACCACTGTATAAAAGCTATGTTACACTAGAGTTAATGTACATTTCACTGCAGATATTATTCAACTACACCTTCGAGTCTGTATACCCACCATTACATTTGAATTAACCCTCATATATACTTTGTCTATACAAACGGAGGTGTGTGTAGAAAAACTGTGACACAGACCCGTTGCCTCTGGAGCAGTACGGTTCATTTCTGTCCACAGGATGGTCTTTTGCTGTCACTCTGTAGGAGAAGGCACACAGAATAACACAGTGCTGTAAACAGGAGGTCTCCACCACAATCACTCAAGTGTATTACTGTCACGACCGAAAAGTAGAGATACTTTTCTTATTTACTTTAAATATGTGGAGCTGCTACTACCAATTATCTTTATTATTTTTCTCCAATTTATCAACTATCAAAAAATAGTGAAATAGATGCCTATTGCAACTCCTCAGAGCCCAGCTGTCATCTTAAAAAGTCGTGTTTTGTTTGGCCAATAGTCCATACCCCAAAGACATTCAGTTTACGATGATGTGTTATTTAAGTGCTGATGAAAAGTGATATACAAATAAACTACTATAATTATTATTATTATCATTTAAAATAAAAAACATGTTTCATTAAAACATGTTAATATGTACTACATACAGTAATACACTAAAGCCATTACACTAAGCTAACAGGTCAAGACACCCTATATTTGTTCTGAGTTATGTTGGGCAGCAATTTTGTTGTCTTCTGAATTATGTCACTGTACCAAAACCAAGCTTAAATTAAAAATCAAATCAAAAGTAAGAAAATATCAAGTATAGCTACAGCAGATTAAAACAACATCGAGGAAAATGTTCAGCACCTAATGATTATGAACCAGTTTTGCTGATAACATCATTCCTTCATATATATACACACGCACACAGAAACCTGTGGGAACAGCAGCCTGAGAAAGGGCAAGATGCCAGCTGGCAATGAGACTAAATTTCAGGCTGAGGATGTTTTTTTAGGCCTGAAGTCTGGTTGTTTCTCCCTGTCTGAATGTCTGTAGGCTCTATAGGCGGGCTTTGGCAGTCAGCACTGTCCGGGCAACTACTGCACTTCTCCAGGGAATGGAGGAGAAAGAGAAAAGAGATACGGCACCTGCAGTCTTTTTGTCTTCTATCCCCACCTAGTGGTAAAAAAAAGACACCCTACTTCCTCAGTGCTTCATGTTAGCAAACTTTAGCTTGTCTGGCCCCGTCAGGTAAAGCGCATTCTCACGACACCTGAGGGTGTATTAATGTCGTAGCTGCTTCAGTCTTTCTGCTGTAAGAGCCGACGAAACGACACAACAGTTGTCGTGTTGCCAGCATACTTGCTAACAATAGCTATCGTAACTCATTTTAAGCTAGCTCACAGACCTCAATGCTAGGTTGTCATGTTGCTCTCCAATACACAGTCGACTTTATTATTTAGTGTGTCAACAAGCGACTAATGTTTAATTTCACTACTGTAACGATATATTATCGATACAAAAAGACTCACCGTACGCTACTTTCTTCCACTATTCTCAGGTGCACTAGTGTCTAGCTAGTTACTCCAGGTTAGTTTGTGTGATTGAGTAGACCTATCTGCCAACGGCCAAATTTGCCCTCTGTTTAACCTCTCAGGCAGCGCTTGCCCTCATACACAAATCACCATAATTTACAGATCATAATACCTGAACCATGGCATAGCTCTAGCTACCAGGCAGTGGAGTTTGATTGAGTTTATCGTGAGCGGTATACGACACACATTGCCGATAAAGCTGCCTGTAATTCTATAAGTAGGGCAAAATCACCCAATGTAATTCTTGATCTGCTGTTTGTTTTTCAGAGAGGGTTATGCAAGTTCAAAGTACACGACCGCCCCCTACTGGTTTTACTATTTAATACTTCCATGAGCTTCCATGACATAGTGACTCCTTTTGCTTTTGAGAGACACGTCTTTAAATATATATCAAAATATTTTCTGTATGTGTAACCATTACCATGTATAACCATAATATACCATGATTTAAAAAAAACATGCTTTACTTACATGAAAAATATTTATTTTTTTAAATAATGAATATTATTATTTTAAATAATCTGACTGCAATGAGGAATATTCAAACTAAACTTATAAAAGTTCAAATCTTCACAGCAGACAACATAATATAACAATAACATAATATAGACATAACATAATATTATAATAGCGAGCCATTTAAATTCATTCTCCAATATTTTAATCGTTTTTCCATATTTTTGAATCAGACCCTGTCTCTTACACATAGTTTGACTATGACCAGTCCCTTACAAAAGTCAACGTATTGAAATTAGAAATTAATTAATCATAGAAATTAGTAAAACTCAGTAGAAAAACTCGAGACCCTGTCACGTGATCAAAGTTGTTTACCACGTGCTCTGTGTGTCACTTCTTAAAAATACGCAACCGGACAGAGCTACCAGTGTGGATGTTGTTGTTGGAGCTAACGTTGTTATTTACAGGAGTTCCCCCTAACCCTTTAACCCCCGCCGCCCTGCGATGCATCTTATTCCCCAGTCGGTTCCGCTGACCTTTCATATATAAGTCTGGCAGACAGCTGATCACTGAAAGCAACTCTGTTTCTGATTCTGCAAACACAGCTAGCATTAGCTAGCGGGTCCCACAGCAGAGCTAACGGCTAGTTGCTTAGCAGTGATGGAGTGGCGGGGCAACGGGACTCCAGTTTACCCCGGTGAAGAATCCAGCACTGACCCGGCTTCAGCAGCCAGGGGCTACAGTGGTGTTTATCATCACCAGCAGGTAATTAGCTCATACTAGTGGTCGAGTTGTTAGTGTTAGACGTGTTCCTTACTTGGCATCACAGATGTGGGTTTACATTATTAAAAGCATGCTAGCTAGCTCAGCCTAGATCATTGAAGTTGTCATGTTACATGGCGTGATAGTTAGCAACGTATGGGCTACTGTGTTTCAGTAGTGTCGCATTTTTCAACTTTTACAGTAGTGTCAATGTCTTATCAGTTAGCTTCGCGGGGGCATCTACAAAAACATCAGTGTCCAGGCTGCATGCTATAGTTCATGCTAACCTGTCGCAAACCCAGAGATACATATATTCCACTCTAACACATGGCTACAAGGTAAACAGATCACTTGCAATGTCGCCATGTTGTGACACTCTCTTTCCGACACTGCAAAAATCAGTGTCGGAAAGAGATCACCGATGTGTTGGTTGGCTGGTGAGATCAGAGGTCACAACAGGACATGAGGCAGCAGCAGCTCACTTTCCCATTCCCCCAGGTCCTACATATTCTCAGATACTGACAGCTGTGTGTGATGGCTGTTGGGGACTAGAAAAGGCATTTGGGTAGCCATGAAGACAAGATGGAAACAAGCATTTGTTTATTTTTAGCCCTCATGCCCCACCCTGATCCAAATGCAGTATGATTGTGGCCATGAAAGCTTAAAAGCCAAATGGGCCTACATTTAGTTTGTGATTCAGCCGCAGTTTGTAGCTGTCAGCTGTTCACTCCCAGGACAGCCAATCATTCTATGGAAAAAGATGTTTGCGAAGAATGAAGATAAACATTTAAAGTTAAGATCGCTTGTGATAACAGTAGCTAGCCAGCGTAATCCCTCTCTCCTTTGGAGGAGGATGTTATGACTTCAGGGCCTTTACACATTTCGTCAAAACTTAGCCTGGATGGACTGTGTTTAGACAAACTCACCTAGAAACCTGCACAAACACAGGGTCAGTTTTTGTATGTATTTGCAAATTTGCACTTTTGTATACAAATCTTAAACTTTTTTTTTTATTCAGCACATTTTTCTCTATTCTACTTGGACTGGTAATTTGACGTGTGTCACTGACAGTTTGTTCCTTTTCTCTCATATCCCAATCTCGTTTTCTTTCCATTTACCTCACACCAGTCACCATCATCACAACTTTGTGATTGTGCAATGGCATCACTGTGCCAGAGCCAGCAGCGCTGTGTGAAGGCCTCTATCGTCTCCAGCTGGAGACTGGCTGAGGCGCAGGACCAGCTATGTTCTCTTGGGGTCCACAGCTCAGAGTCCCTGGAGCAGGAACGTGCTCGGACACTGGCCTGCCCCACAGAACTCACGCACACTGAGGAGGAGTGGCGTCGCAAGGAAAGCATGCTGGGAGGTCAGGAACCCAGCCGCAGTCCTGTGCTCGGAGCTGTCGGAAGTTGGGACGTTTTTGATAAGGTAACAGAACTCCTGTCATCATTAGAAGATTGTAAGAGAGTAGTTAAATTTTGCTCTTGTCTTGAAACATTTTTGTAACATTTTTGCTGCTCATGTAGAGATATTGTAAACACTCAGTTAATCTCTTCTTGCTCTTATAGAGTATCATTAATTTCCAAAATCAACCTGCTGAAATGGATCAAGATAAGTGCAATACATTTCTCCAAAAGTATGAGAAAGAGATCAGGCATTTTGGTAAGTGACACACTAAAACATTCATCTCAACAGTTTCATCTCAACACATTACACTTCACTGTGGTAGAAGAAGGTATGTCACCCACTGTTTTTCAGCAAAGTCATTGTCCTTGTCAATTAAATGGTTTGAATATCAGTTGGTGTTAGTTACCAATTATCGAGCTTTTACAAAAGCTGAAAGTGAGTCATTCAGGTTCATTGGGATGAATAGCCTGTCTCATGTCTACAAGCTAATTTTAATTCCATAGAGGCATGATATGTCTGTACTGGAAGGTAGGTAAAATCTTAAAACAGTTTTAGCATGGAAGAAATTTCTGCTTAGTTTAAAATGTTATCATTAGAAATCAGGCAATAGCAACCAACTGGGTGGAAGAATTACAAATTTCGTGTAAGCTTACATAGTTGTAAAACCCTTTTTACCTTTTGTCCATAATTAGAACAACTAAAGCACCTAACAAAACAAAACTTTCATTTTGTTGTGCTGTGTTTGCCCTAACTTTAGTATTACAGGCAGCTATCTTGTTGTGCTGTACATATTTCTGGCATACTGTATATATGATCATCAAATATTCTCGCTAGCAGTAGCAAAGGTCTTGAATTATTTACTACTAGCTGTTTTCTAAAGATACACAGGAGACAAGAAAGCATTTTAACACTATTATTACATTTGCATATAAAAGTTGTTCATTTTCCAACAGTTGCTTCACATGCAGAGCATACAAACAGGACCATATGGTTCTTTTTTAAGTCTTCGTAAAACAAACTAATAAGCTTTGTTTCCATTTGTCAGGTATGCTGAGGAGATGGGACGACAGTCAGCGATTCCTTGCAGGCATGCCTCAGCTCATCTCTGAGGAAACGGCCAATTACTTAATTCTGTGGTGCATGAGACTACAGCAAGAAGGGGTAATGTACTGATAGGCTAACAATACCACCAAGAGACCAAAGCCTACAATAATTCATCGTGCTAACCAGTATTGTCTGTGTAGTCTCAGTCAGATGACAAGTGACAAGTTGAGAATTTGTTCCTCTCAGCTCGTCAGACTAGAAAAACAGTGTTAACACAGCCACATGTCTGAGCATGTGCACTGACACTGAAAATGTAATACTGTAATAGTTTTAGAATAAATTACACTGGCCATATTGATTGCACTTTCTGCAATCAAAACTGAGATTTTGACTTTTCATTGTAGGTACAGCACTGGTGTTACTAATAAAGTTAATGATGAAGATGAAGAATTTCCCTTCAGTCCTTCAGTGCAGTTTTGTGTACTCTGGTTATCGAAGTATGTCTTCAATGTTCAGGTGGTCGATCTGTTTAGCGGTGAGGATGTTATACTTCTAAATAAAGGAATGGCCATGCCTGTTTTGTTAATCCCATGTGTGGGTTATAATTTTCACATGTTCACTTTGAAACTAATTTTAAACTAATGCCATGACACACAGAAGGTGTTAGAAGTCTCAAATTCACACAAGTCATTTCAAATATGGCTTAAAAACTTGGGCGTTGGAAAAAAAAAACTGCTTTTACAGTTTGTGAGCTAAAGAGTTTGAATATAAGATGCAAGGTTCACAGACTCTTGTTATGTGTCCTGCAGAAAGAAGCACTGATGGAGCAGGTGGCGCACCAAGCTGTAGTCATGCAGTTCATCCTGGAGATGGCGTTGAACTCTCAGAAGGATCCTAGAGGCTGCTTCAGACAGTTCTTTCACAAAGCCAAAGTAAGATGCACATATCTTATCAGTACATTATGCACTGTGTCTACTTGTGTAGCTACCTACTTTGGGCTTTCATGCTGTTGGATGTAGGGACTTCATTTACATAGCTTTCCAGGGTTAAAAGTTCCATCATTAAGCACTTGTCAAGGCTGCAAAGCCAGATAATTGTAAAAAAAAAAAAAAAAAAAAAAACTGCTTTACGCATACATTTAGCTGCTTTTGTAATGGAGGATAGGTAGCATGCCTAATCTAAATTTCATTCATATCCTTTCAGATGGATGTTGTTTTGCTTCAAGCCATCTTGTGCTATGTTTTCCTAATATTGATGTCTTTAATGCTCTATAGGAAGGACAAGATGTCTACTTAGAAGTCTTCCATACAGAGCTAGAGGCCTTCAAACACAGAGTTAAAGAATATGCAGTCAAGTGTAGAGGTGATACACCCAACAATGCTGAACAACACAACACTGGCACAAACTGCAGACTCGACCCCAAAGAATCCCTGGACTCTTTACCTCCAGTAAGTGTTCCTGTCTTTTTCCCATTGTTGCTGAGACATAGGCTACTTCAGTTACCACACACAGCTTTGTTGGTACTACTGAGCTAGTGTATATTAGTTCTGATATAGAACTGGTAAATGTCATCTTTGGTTGGATCCTGGATTTTGACACAAGCATTTACTTGCTCATTCTCACTTTCAAGACACATGTGTCTCCACTGTTTTTCATGAATGGTGACAGCGCTACGATGCACCAGGGAAGGATTCAGCAAGGAGTAAAACTGCACAAGATAGCTCTTATGGCCACAGCAACTGCCAAAAGTTGACATTACCTACAAACCAGGCGAGGTTCATCACATTGCTGATGTTATCAGTGAAATCAATTTTTGTATTTGCAGACAGCCTATTTGTTGTCTTCCTTCATTTGAAACCCTAACTTCTGCTACCTACATAGCTGTGTCGATCCTTTCTGCACAGGGCTGTCCCTGCCTGGTGGGGGGAGTGCGGTCATCAGGGAAATCTGATACAACATCCTCATTTTCAGTTTTAGCTGACTCAGACAAATATGCCTGCTGGTAGTGTGATCTCTCAAGCTCAAACGTGATAACTTACCAGTAGGGCAAAAGGGAAAAGACAATTGATGTAATTTGTTAGGTATCACATATTCCACTGAAACAGCTGAACTGTGGATATTTTTTGCCCAAAAAAGTTGATGTCTCTAACTTGGATTACATCCCTAGAAAAGTAAATCAAGTCAAAATGTGTACTGAAGCTGTCAGCAGCTCAGGTATCTCAGATAATTCCCACTCAGATCATTATTTCACATCATTATGTTTCCTAGTTACATGGGTGGAGCTCTACCAACCTTTTTTTTAAAGGAAGGAGGTCACATGTGACGAGTGTCTCATACAAATTAAAAGCCTTTTCTTTATATGACATCATAAGCTAATTACAGACATATTTTTATTTTAGGCAAGTATTTCAATATTCAGATAAAGTTTAGTGTGAAAGTTGCCAAATAGCATATTACAGGTTTTTCTATTAAACTTGATCTTTGTAGTTTCAGAGCCTTTTGTAAGTGAGAGAGAATGAGGCCTTCTCCCTTCTGTCGGCCCCACAGCTTGACTAGTTGCCAAACATCTACTCTGAGAAAAGAAAAAAAAAAACTTCCCCCCCTTCTCCCACAGAGGAATGCAACCATGCCTGTTGAAAGTGAAGCTGGTCCTGGTCTTTCTTTTGGAGTTGTGCTGTTTTTCTCTCGTAGCATCTCTCCTCCCCCTTAGCTTGAAGACTCACTGTCAGCCTGTGAGGAGTGACCAGATGAGAATGTGTACATGAGAAGCTGTTCTTTTATAATAAGAAACACAAGTTTGTGCCCTCCAAGATTTGTTTTAGTTCATGGTGTGAATCCAAGATCAGACTTTCAGTGTCAGCTCAGATTTGAAATGTTAGAGGCTGAGAGTGCAGTTATATAACCATTATAATCCTCTAACCGGGCAGTAGTAGGTTAATCTCCCAGCATCTGTCTCTCTAGCTCTGTTTATTTTTACCTATTTTAGATTTTGATATTTACATGGAAATCCTCACCTGTTATTGGTTTTTGGCTGTCATTCGACACTCCTGTCTTTGTCTTCCTCCACCAGGTGGCAGAGTATCCTGTGAAGCGTTGTTTAGAAGCCGGACTGTGGACAAGCACAGGGAGGTGGACAAAGGATGATACTACAGAAACAGAGGACATACGCATGATGGAGACCTCCTAGGGATTGTGGGATCAGCCCCTGCTTTTCTTCCATCTCCATCATCTCCCCATTTAGGAACAACCTAAATTTTAAGCCCTCTTTTGACAGCAGACCAGGCTAATAAGCAGCAGTGTAGAGCAGGAATAAACTGAGACATGATCAGTCATTAACGCTGCATTTCTCAGTGGAGAACGGGTAGGAAATTATGTTTTACTGAGGACAGACATTTCCCATTGTTGCCGTTAGTATATCAGTGTGGTTAACCTTGGGCGAGTTGGTTCCTGCAGTGGCTCTTGCCAGCTAAATGCACGTCTTGTGCCATAATACTGGTTTTATAGATCTCTCATTATTTTCTTTCAAGCTGGTTTTTCTTATTTCTCCTGGAACAGAGAAACAAGTTAAGACAACACAAAGAAAACTTAACCAGTTAAATCCAGCGTCTGGAGAAGAGGTTAGGTTAGTGGACCTGTTGTTACAGGTGCTTAAAATAAATCCTATTAAGTTTGAGAGAAGCATGACTGACCCATGAATGGCTTCGCTCTCAAATGCAATGCTGAAAATAGTATATGTCCAGTATTTCAAACTAGGTTTTGAAGTAAAATTTTAAACTTCCTGATGTAACATTACCATAACATTTGGTAAAGACTGGGCCTCAGATCCTTTAAAATGTGTTTCCTTTTTTATTTTTAAATTGGATCACTACAGCTGAACTTGCTGGCTTTATGCTAATCTGCTAAAAGCCATTTAAATGGCTGAATCAGTAAACATATACAGAAAGCAAAAGTGTTTTCTCCAAGCTTCACCTTGACATGCCAGACTGAACGTACAGGCCAGTTGAAGGTTCAATTGAAAGCGCCTGTTGAGTGAATCAGATTCATCCTTGCAACGTTCAGGCCCACAACTAATCTGCATGTGGGGAGTTGCACACAGTCTCACAGGTCTCTCAGGCTGATTAACAGGAGAGGATTAATAATGCAGTGTGTGGGTGGCCAGTCAGTTCACTGACTCACTTGTCTAACATGAACAGATGACATCTATTGGTACAAATGTTTAACATTTACATTGACTATTGTTATACATTATTTTCTCATTACCTGATTGTTGCAATTCCTTGTTGTCCTCTGTCTGGGCCATGAAAAGCAGCTAGCCTCGATGCTCAAAGTGAAGCTAGAGTTCTAATGTTAAATAAAATGGAGGGGGTTATATTAAAGCACTGCTTTTACAAATGCAAAATGATAGTTAATATCAATGTGGCCTTACATCATTTCATTTGAACACTGCTAATTAGCAGCATGAAGGTCATGAAGTTCATGCATATCATGAACGGCAGGACAAGAGAGTTAATAATGTTTAAGGTCCTCTGAAAACTACTCTTAGTGTTGTCTGGGGAGGCTTAAGAAGCAATTAAAGTGTGTAACCTCCTTTACATTTGCCATTACCATGCATCTTTGGAATTCAGATTTTATCTAGATAGTGTACATGTATACATTCACTCAGGACATCAAACCTGTAGTGAATCAAAATACAAAATCATGAGTTTCCAATTAATACAAAATGACCAACAGAAGATAACAATATACAGTGTATTCTCTTGGGTCTTATTGTCTTGTTCTGTTATAAAAATAATTCAGCTTTGCAGAAAAATAATTAGTCGCTCATTTATTTAAGCTGCTTGACATGAGACAATAACAAACTAAAGACTAACAGTGCATGCTTTTTGGAAAGTGACTGCAAGATTATGTTTGAGACAATATAGTAACTCAGCCTCTATTGCATGACAGAGCACTCAGATTTGATGCACATAAATACACACAGTGAGAGGCGCAGGATCAGCCCCATTTTATGAGGATATTTGAGACATTTTTAGTTTTAAGTGACGGTTAATTATCTAAATCCAGGTATTATCTGGGTGAAAGAGGCATGGTGAGGTAAGGTGTAAAGAGGGCACTGCACTTGCTACATACAGTAGGTGGTTCGTATTGATCAGCTGAATTATGCTCCCGTGGAATTTATTTCATCAGCTGTTTAGGTAATCAAAGCATCAAATTTAAACCTACGCACAGGTGATATAGCTCAACCTTGAGTACAGGTGATAAAGTACAAAATCATGCCAAATTCTTCATATTTTACTTCATAAAAGGTTAACAAGGTCTGTATGGGCTTTGTATATTTATTTCTTTCTGGGTCAGTGACGTGCTTGTGTAAAACTAACTTATATTTTTTTAACCAGCTTGCCATCTTTTACCCAGCACCCTAAAAAGAGTTACAACCACCAGTTTCCTTAAACAAGTGCGCTGTGCACACTGTTGTCAGTTGTGTGCAGTTACAGTTCTCAATTCTGCCATCTACACCTGAGTAGGTGATTAAAAAGCACCAGTGTGAAGGGGAGGAAAAAAGGGCTGCGCTCTCCACAAAGAGACTTTTACTGTATATTTGTATGCAGAAGGGAGCTCTCTGCATTTGAATGTGTCCTGCACTTTATATTTCTTTTTTCAAAGCTGTTTTTAGTTTTGTCACTTTTTTTGTTGTGCTCCCAGTCATCGAATTGAATCTGAACATTTTTGTTTTACAAGCATCCCTTCGAGGAACTTGTGGGTTGAATTGTGTGATGTTTTGTTTTGTTTTACTGTTGTATTCTATCGTCTTCTGACCTTTGTTTTTTGTTCAAGGGAGCTTTTGCCAGATTCATTAGGCTTCCCAGTAACTGTCCCATTGATAATTGTATTCTTTTATTTAACAAGAAAATAAAAATCAGTGTAAAAATTTGCTGAGCGACATGATCAGCAAGATTTTTATTGCAGGCTATGGAAATAGAAATACCATACGATGCATTAAAGTACAATTCATCACAAGCTTCTGTGTGATGCATCGTTGATTCTGCAGTGAAACTTTCAGTTCACATAGGAAAAGCATCATATCATAGAGGTATTGTCAGCAGCAATGCTAAAAGAATGTGCTCTAGTGGACTTGTATGTTTTCTTTCTTCTTTTTTTTTAGTCCACAGTGACGACTCAACTATGCAAAATAACTGTTGGGCTTAAACTGCTGTTCTAAACCTGTGGCAGTGTCTCTTGACTTTTTACTATAAATCCTGTGTTTTTGAAGCTTGGTATAAGAGTTTCTGTCACTAAGCTATAAGCTTTAGGAAAGTTATTGGTGTTACACTTCCGCATCGACAGTAGGCAACAGTAAGATTTGGCTTCTTGTGCTGCTGTAAGAAACTCAAATATAAAACCAGTGCTAAATGTTTGTGTCTTGTCAACTGCTACAGTTCTGTGTAGACCTGCAGTGATTATACAATGGATGTCGCTGACCATTTAAAATTGAGCAGCCTGAAATGGCTTTATCATTAAATCCTTAAAGGGTAACGCCACCGATTGTTGAGATGCATCATTGGGCAATGCAGACTCCAGGTTTTGACAGGAAAAAGGAAAAAGAATGAGTGGAATAAAAAAAAAAAAAATATATATATATATATATATATATATATATATATATATGGTTCTGCGGCATCAACTTTGATGATTCTGACAATGTCATAGGAGTGCAATGTTAAATCAGTTGGCTACTCACTTAACTGTTGTAGAGGCAGCCATGTTCCTGTTGAAATCTGTCAAATTAAAACAATGACTGGGAAACTATACAGTTATGTTATTCTGGTGTACAATTATACACTAAATACAGTAACTAGTCTCAGAAGTTTATTGTGATCCATAATAAATACTCACGACATAGTTGTAAGTTGTCTATGAAGAGGAGATGTGCTTTTACACATTGTATTCAAGTGTCTAGAAATACACACTGTACAATTCAGGAAACATTCACTGCATAAATCTGTACTACACTGCGAGGCAGACTAGCATTTCTGTGGCTTTTAACATGGTGAAACATTCTTAAGACCAAAGTGCAAATACACAACTGCAGATCAACCTTGAACGCTATTATACATTCTAACAAGACGACAGGCTTCCTTTGCTTTGAATGTTATTATAGTTTACAGTTAAGTTTTCACTTGTCAAGTCATAGTAAATGGCAAACATCAATACATGTTTATAGACTTGGTCAGAATGCCTGGTTAAAATGGAAAGCGGCGCATTCAAGAGGCAACACTGTTAAGACTTGAGGTGTTTGAAAGAAACTGTTAAACAATGATGGTTTAATTTGAAGTTAAAAAATATTCAATATAGCCTAATAAGTCAGTTCAAACATTATTCAATCAGTGGTCCATATTCATGAAAGTATTTACAAACCACATTCACTGAGCTATCTGGTACTTTTCCAAAAGCAGCGAGAGGCACTTGAGTGCAAAAGTGAAATTTGCTAAAGAACATGGCACATTTCCCTTTAGAGCAACTACCCACTGCATTACAAACAGTCCCGATAAGGCAGTTACAAATACCTTAGTCATGCCCACAATATTGTCAATTGCCATCAACTAAGAAAATAATTCATGATTGCAACTAGAAAACGTAAAGGTTAAAAATGTATACACTACTCCACTCCTCCTTAAGGTTGACTGCATTCACCAGACAGGACCAGCCAAAACAACTGTTCCTGTCGTACTGCAACATCTCATCATGAGGGATATTAATATTTGATTCAGTGATGCCTTGTGGCTCTTTAAAGGCACATCATAGAAGAGATACAATCTGTGTGATTTCTAACGACTAATGTTTGAAGGAATTTATGCACACGTCCTGAGAGTTTGCCAAAGTGATTTCAGCAACATTGTGGAAACAGTGCAACGGTAGTACAACATGCACTTCAAATGTGGGGTTTCTCCAACAGCATCTGTAGTTTTACTATTGATACCTGACGACAGGTTGAACCATCAGAGTAGTTTATCACACAGACAGCTATCCTCTTGTTTCACAGAAAGTGACACCTTGATTGGACGATGCGTACAGAGTGGGTTCTGCTGGTAAACTTAAAGACTTATTGCACCTTTCTCTTCAGGCTCTCTATGCAACTTTTTGATTGACAGAGGTGAGTCGTCTATGGAGGAAAGCCTCGACATGTGGCCAGATCTTGTTGGTTTCTGTCCCAGAGAAGGTCTCTAGCACACCTTTACTCCTGGAGAGACAAAGAGACACAAAAATCCTTCTTTTTTTTGCAGTCACTATTTCAACTATTATTCCAATATTACAACACAATTAGAAAAATATGTGATTGATCTTTTAATTAGCTCTAAATGCACATAGATCTAAAATAGGCTGAACTGTTTTTCACCCTTTAAATTGAACCCTCTATCTCTTTCTTCTAGTCTGGAGTTTTCTGTGCTTTAATCAAATGAACAGCTTCTCACACATTGTGGTAAAATTAAAATTAAGTGGGACACTAGCTAAGCACATCCCTGCAGTTTGAGGGAACACTATGATATGTTTTCCTGTCTAATTAACCCAGAAATAGAAATTATTATGCATGCATTTATAAACTGGGTCCACAGCCTCGTAAGTCTGCTAGTATTCCTGCTTTCTTTTGTGCTTTTTGCCTAGGTTTTGTTGTTTCTTGTAAAGCTTAAAGATTAAAAATACATGTTTAAAATATTTGTATTCACTTCATTTTTGTAACAAGGACAAAGGCACAGGTTGCACTTGTTACTTTGTCCTCCAGGAATGTGGTTCTTAAGTATTTCAGTCATGCAAGCAACTGTGAAGAATGTGCAGGGAGGACAGAGCCCAAGGTCAAGGTAGTTTAGTATTTGGTTGTAGACTTTTACACATATTAAAAAGGAGGACTAGACTTCAATGAGACATGCTGTAATGCGGTCAAACATCTGCCCAACTTGCCTCATTAATTTCTGTGATTAAGTGAGTCCTAGTGATGCACAGATATGCAAGCAGGTTAAGCTATATTTTGATTTATCTGTATTTTCCTACCTGTAGTACTCTAAAACAGGCTCTGTCTGGGTTTCATAGGACTTCAGTCTCCGTGTCACTGTCTCTGGTGTGTCATCATCCCTCTGGGCCAGTGGTTCTCCTGTCACATCATCCAAACCCTGGAGAAAACACATGAACCAGTGTGGTTACACCTGCACACCATACTCTAATAGTACTTTTTAAATGCATGCTATTTTTTGCAATGAATGATTTTGTACATTTTTTTTTGTAACTGCTGAATAATAAACAATAAATGTTTACCAGAGGAAAGGGGAGGAAACCTGCTGAGGGCAGAGTTGCTAAATGAATGCTTCAGGCATTAACTTCCAACAACCACTAGTGCACAACAATGAGCAGGATTTGTCCAGCACAAACCCAGACGCAGCACAGGGTCTGGAATGTAAACACTGCTCAAGAAACACAAAGTGGTGCCAGTTGACTGAGAGGGCAGACGAGGCTGGCAATAGTAAAGCTAAATAATGTTGAAAGATGTTTAATATATGATTACAGATTTTTTGCATTTCCACCCTGTGTGCAATGTAAGGACTGTGTTTCTGTTATAGGCTATAGGTTTACACATAAGCCAGCAGAGCAGCTGGTCATCTCTCTAATGATGGTCTCAAACTGAAGCAGTAGCAGGAGGTATGACTACAGAGGCTGACATTTTGACTTGACACAGTAGGAAAAGCAGGTATGTCACTAATAACATTAATGGTGCCTCTGGTCTTTTCAAGTATCTCAGGAAGCCATGGCAGTGTGACAGGGAGCCAGCATGAACAATACCAGGACCCTGAGACTGCAGCAGCTAAATACAATTCACCAATCATTCGTTTTATTACTTTTCCTACAGTGACATGTTCCATTATCTTCCATGAAAGGCTTAAATCTAACTTAACATGTAGCAAAGTGGATTTTCTCACTTCTATATCCTTTGACACCATTGGGGTTTAGTGGCACAGCCTGGAGAGTGCTTTATTTATTTCACTCTTTACAAGACATACTGTGTTTTGTTTTGTTTTTTGTTGCAGGGCACACAAAAAGTTTTCAGTGACCTGATGTCTCTGAGAACATTATTGAAAATGGACCACAGTGAAAACAGGACTGAAAGTCTAAGCTATGCGAGCAGCTCAGTGAGGCTGCACATATTAGCTTTTGAGCTGAGAGCTAATGCTAACATGCTGATATTTAGCAGGAAACATTTGCTATCATCATAATCCCAGTGTAGCGTGTTAGCATGCAGTACATTTGCTGAGTAGCATTGAACACAAGTTACAGCTGAAGCTGAATGTACTGTATTTGGTCATAAATCAAAGTATTGGACAAATCTCATAATGGCATTTGAGGAAAAGTCACTGGATCAGCATAGTAAGCAAGCTTCATGTCCAAATGTTTCTGTTTCTAAATATCTTGACACTATATCAAACCACACAAAGAGGAATGCGCACCCCAAGGTTCAAGGTAAGGATAATAATAATAATGGAGTAGAGGTGAATTTGCATGACCCTTAGTTCCAGTGGAGCATCATTTGAACACCACAAATATGTAAACCTTAGCACTCAGCTCCACCCCCTCAGAGCATCAGTCTACTTCTTGTATATTTCACCAGGAGATGTCACTATGAAACTTTCATAGACTGTATCCTCAGTTTACTCAAGAAAGTATGCACAGGCCCCAAAGATCACTTCTGTGTTGAATTGGCATGAGATAAGTGATTCACATGGAGCACAGTTCCTGAGGAATATTTGCAACACCTCATTGAATTCATGCCTCAAATAATTCAAGTTAATCTGAAAGCTGAACTCAGATCTCTGCATCTGGGTAGATGAACCTGATTAAAGTGTTTTACCTCATGAAGGGATGATTGAATGATTTTATTCCAGTTTTTATGTCTGTTTCTGTCACATTGCACGCTCTGAAACATGATGGTGAGGAATAGACTGAAGCCAATGTTTAACTATAAATGATTTGTTACTCCATCAGACTGTGAAGGAAATCTGGCAGGAAGGTGCTGCAATTCACCGCAACAGAAAAAACAAGCACACATGACTGTAGGCGTACGAGCTGTTAATCATCTAGAAAAATATGCTCAAAAAAGTTTGGAAGACTATACTTTGTCAAACTTGTTAGTGTAACAGTGCACAACTGAAATGAAATAGTAATATAATATCTTATTATGATTACTAATATAATCAGCATACTCATTATCCTCGCTATTATATATAATACTGATACACCAATTGATTGAACCAATCAAGGGAATAAGCCTACCATCCAACCAACCAACCAAAGCATGGCTACAAATCAACCAATCAGAATAACGCTACAAACCGCCACCGTGACCTTTGACTTTTAACCATCAAAATCAAATCAGTTTGTTCTTGAGTCCAGGTGAATGTTTGTACCAAGTTTGTAGAAATTCCCTCAAGGCCTTACTGAGACATCGCGTTCACAAGACCAAAACCATGTTTTGTGAGGTCACTGTAAAAACCTGTCAAGGTTGAGATGTGAGATGTTGACAACTATATGTAAATGGGCAAAAGATCAGAGAATAATATCAATGCCAGACACTGTTTTCTAAAGTATTTGCTTGCAATTCTCAAAGAGCTCTATCTGTAGCCATGGAAACAGATGCAATATGCACAAAAAGCTGCTGATGCTGATATAAATAAATAAATAAATAAAATGATCTGCTTGATGCACATCTTCACAAAACCTAAACAGTCAGGAACTTGGGTTACCATAGCAGTTGCATGCAATAATGCATATACAAGTGGATAATGTGAAAATGAAGAGGATTCTGAGATGATTTTTTTATTTTCTTATGTGTCCCTGTTAAATTGCAGCAGCCCCCATCCTGCCTCTTTCTTCCCACGTCTCTTTCTGTTTACTAGTGTATGATTGCATTGGACGAGAGCAAAGGTCCCCACTTGGATTTCCACAGCAATGAAGTGGCCTCTTGTTTTATCTTTTCTTGGTCTGTCACTGTTCGTTTCTCCTTTTCATTCACTCTCTCTTCCATTTTCCACTTTCCATTTTCCACTCCCAAAACCCCAAAACAATTCATTTCAAACAAACAGTATGATTTACTTCTTATGGAAAAAGTAAAGCCAATTGTTGGCCTAATAAAGTATTAGGATATTTATGTTTGATTTTATTCTAAGTGCAATGTCTTTACTGAGTAAGAGAGGATGTATTTACAGGAACTTTAGGTGGGTTGAAATCTATGTTGTAGACTCTGCCACTGGGAAGGTGAGTCCAGCGAGAAGTCAGCCTCTGTTTGATGGTCTGGAAAGGAACATTGAGGTTGATAACTGTATCCACACTGTAGGTGTCATCCAGAGCCTCTGCCTGGGAAACTGTACGAGGGAAACCTAGTAGTGAGAGAGAGAGACAGGGGAAAGACAAAAGACAAAATAAAACTCTGTGCCGGGATTTGAATTAAAAAGCAAAAGCTCAAATGACGTCTAAGAAAACTTTCAGCAGATGACTACAAACATCCCTCTGCTGAAATCTAAACTAGAGGAGGACATCCAAAATCATAATGCGACTGACTGGTGATACAAACTTACCATCGAGCAGCCAGCTGCTCTGGCCCAATGTTCTCAGGTCACTCAGGATGAGACGGGACATGACGTCATCGGGTACCAGCTGACCCTGATCAATACAGGACTTCATCAACAGGCCGAGCTCTGACACACACAGAAACACAGAGATGGGTGCTGTTGCATGCTGATCATACTAATTACAAAATAAAAGGATAATTTTCTCAACTAAATTTTTCGAATCTTGATATTTCTAAACTCAATTTTGAATCACAATATGAAAGACTGGCTGTATTTTTTGCATAATTTAGCTGCTTCAACAGTCTTTTCATTTCATGTCTTAGTGCAGTTTTGCCATGTGGATCTGAATATCTAACTCAGTGTAATGATATTGTAACTATAATCAAGCTGCACAAGCACACAGAGGAATATGTGTATAGAGTGACACAGTGTGGGACATTTTTTCTTTATTGCAAATGGAAATTTTAAAGGGATAATCTGGGTTTAGGAGGTTAAGGCACAAGATTTTTTTCCTGTCACTTCCACTGTAATTGGTCAGAGTTCAGCTGAAGAAAGGAATTTCCTGACAAGCCTTCCAGAAATGAGCTGACTGTGCTTAAATACTACTCTGATGTCACTATGAAATAGAGCAATGGCTAAAACTTGATTGGGAAACCATGGGCTGCATACAGGAAATACATGTCATACGATTGTTTTACATAGAGAGGACCTCTTGGTGTTATTCTGTGTTGCTCCAACAAATACAGACAAATAAGTTTCTGTTTCTTTTGTATTGAATACGTGACACATATAAAGACTGCACACCAGTGTGTTTTGGGTGTGCACACTGAACCCTGGACAAAGTGTTCAGAAAGTACAGTTGCTGAACGGCAACCAGTTAAGCAAGGTAAGTACTGGTAAAGAACCAACTTAGGAGGATTTGTCTACCTGTAAATGTATCAGTCAATTTAATACATTGTGATAGAGTTCATCTGCAGTGCTCTCACCCAAAAAGGGCTTTACAGATGTTCAGTAGGAGTGTGAGAGTGAGGCAGTCTCAGGAAGTGGAAGGTCACCGGTTCAGATTGAAAATTCGAGCAGGAAAAGCCAATAAGAAGAACTGCTTTGACTGCCAGCTGCTCCAGTGGAGCCGCTCAGCTGCCAACAATACAAGGATTTAGTTAAACTGAGCCTCTCGACAATGCCTGCACATACACAGTATGAAATTATAACACGAAGAGGAAAAAAACTGGTTAAAGCTCGGCTGTACAGCAGCAGCCTTTGCAGGAGTCTCCAAACCTCACTTCAGCCCCAAATTACTGCTGTGAGATTGTCCAGTCTTGTAGTTACTGTGTCATCCAGCTGTGATAGCACAAACCTTCATCTATAGCCAAGGAACAAAGGTGCACAGTCTTTCTTATCTTTACACCTCTCTTTTATCATCAAGGTGATATTGAGAAGTAGCGGGCCTCCAGTGTTTCCACTATAAACATAAAACAACATGCTCTATGACCCTACAAACCATTTTGACCTTGACTAAGGAGAGCACAGCTTCTTTTATATCCTGTCTCTGTGATAAAGATAAGAAACAAAACTGTAGGAGTGGTGCTCTTATCACAGTGGTCCAGAAAACAAACTTGCAGTTATTTTTCACATTATAACACTAATTGTGTAGTGTAGTAGTCTCTTTTTGTAGGCCACAACTTTCTTGTGTTTTGATCACAATAATAAGTTTTTGAAGTTATTTCTAACAATGCAGATGCTCCAGGAAGAAAAAGAGTAGGGATAACTTATCTCAAGTGTCTCTTTTGAAGCCTTACTTAAGGACTAAAACATGCTGACCTGTGTAGATTTTATTCAAGATTATACTTATAGTATTTGTTTGTGGTAGGACATCTCTATCTTACCGGTTTTAGCGTTGATGTTGGCTCTCAAAATGTCCCCACTAGAAAGGTGAGTCAGTCCAAAACTTTTGGTTATGCGTGCAGACACTGTTCCTTTCCCCGACCCCGGAGGTCCCATGATGACAGCACGAAATATCCTTTGAAGAACCATCTTTAGACGATCATTTACTAAAACAGATATTTCTAGCAGTAGAAAAACTGTATCCTGCCCATGAAACAATCCGCTCTGGATGCTCAGCCAAGACTGGATCGGAGCAGGTTTTCTTTCTTTCCCAAAGAAATGCGCAACGTAACCAAGAGTGGGCGCGTCTTTTCCAGGCAGTCTAAACTCCTACTGGACCCTGACTTTTATTTCCCCCAGCCCCGCAGAAAACAGAAGGAAGAGGAGGAGAAGGAGGAGGAGGAAGAAGATGAGAACTGTTCGCCAGTTCAGTGGCGGCGGGGGCAGATGAAGATGCAGTTCCCTGACGACGCACACCGAGCGAAATTAGTCCCTTTCTGCAGCGTGTTGACAAACTTCCTCGCATATTCCGCTGTTAACGGTTTAGTGGAGATGTATTTATTGTATAACACGGTTATGCAATTGGTCCTCGGGCGGAAAAGGCTTGTTGGCAAGGTAGCGGTGATTAATCCCTTCCGAACCTCGATCCTTTCAGCAGACAGACGTGCAGATTGGCAGGCAGGTTGAAATGAACAGCCCATCTGCTTCCTAATATTCGGTTTCTAAAATATTATAGAGGTGTTGGTCGTTTTAAAGGAATTAAACAATGTTTACAGACATTACCGGGCTTTATTAGGGCTTTAATACTTTTGAGAACATCTGAAACTTTTTGATTGGATCTAATTATTAGGTTGACTTATAAAAAGATCCGTCAATAATTTTGAGTTTAGTTTAAGGTATTTTACTTTGTTTAACGCCTACAATCCCTATTAAAGAAATATAAAAGTGATAATCCGTATAAATATCGGTAGTTTCCCTTTTGTTTACATTTTGATCACATTTTGTGCCTTTAAGACGCAACGTTTTCATTCAACCACTCCCACTTTGTGTTAATGAATGGTAATCTGGTTCCATCTAGTGGCCAACTTCAACAATGCACCCTTTTAAAAAAATATTTATGACCCTCTTGCTCTGCCGTATCCTCGCATCTCACCAACGTCTTCCTGGACAAACACACGTGGATTTCCACTGACGACAGTCAGAAACAACAATAACATGGCAAGTCAGGGACTCGCCTACGACGGCTGCAATTTCTTCAGACAGCGGCTAGTTTTCTCCACACTTAGCGGGAAGCGGGTTAAAATCAAGAACATAAGGTCTAAAGATAACGACCCGGGGCTCCGCGGTGAGTTGCAGCTTCACTTTGCATGTGGCGTCGCAGTTAGCTCGGCGGCTAACCAGCTAGCTGTTACGCAGTTGGGAGTGTGGTTAATCACTGGGCGTCGGACGTGAGGAATCGATAGAGTATTGGTGTAAATGTGAGATAAATGTTATCTCACGTTACTGTACTAAGTTGTGTGGTTGCTCTACATTTCAAGAGCACCGAAGAGCTCTGTTTTACATTATTTGACTCACTTATCTTGGAATATGTGAGTGAGGATTATCAGAAGTTACCATTGTAAATTCAAGAATTTTCCTTCCACTTGCTCGACTCCATATGTTTTGGTACAGTTTAAAAAAAAAAATACAAAAATGCATTATTTTTGCCTTAACCTAGGTGCAGACTTAAAAAGTTATGGCAGACTTTGATTTAGTTTAAATTAAAAAGTCTTCTTTTCTGTTTTCTGTCCTATTTGTCTTCTCCAGATTTTGAGGCCAGCTTCATCAGACTGTTAGACAAAGTGACCAATGGCTCCAGAATAGAGATCAACCAAACTGGTGAGTGTATAGCTGCAGTGGTAGCTTTGTCGCAGACTATGCGATTTATCTAATTACTGTTTACTGTCAAAGGGTAATTATGTTCTTTATCATAGTGCAGCAACAACAGACAGATAGTTTGAATGTGAATAATGGGATTTTTTAAATTGTTTTCCACGTTATTTTTTCCATTTATAATATTATATGATGTGTCATTCTGCTTCTTTCTGCATGTTGCTTCAGCTATAGTGATGTCCATGGCTATAACTGAAACCATCCGATTTTATGTAAAGGAATCTCAGTTCACGTGTTAACTAATTGGAAAATTTACAGATATATAATTTTCTGTGGAAGCGCTCTCTATCATTGTGGTAATAGCGATTATGTTATAATAGGACTATAAATCTCAGTGTTGTAGGGAGAAAACTGCTAATAGTAAATCTGTAGATTCACTCACTGTCCTCCTGTTTCTGTCCATTCAAGGTACTGTGTTATTCTACCAGCCTGGCTTGTTGTATGGAGGTACTGTGGAACATGACTGTAACCCGCAGCGCTCGATTGGTTACTATCTGGAAGCCCTGCTCATGCTGGCTCCATTTATGAAGAACTCTCTGAAGGCCACTCTGAGGGGAGTCACCAATGACTCAGTTGACCCGACTGTGAGGATGCACACTCATCCCTCTGATCACCTTTTAACCAATACACTGTTTCTTACCTCTGTCTTTCTGGTTTAAATCTGACTCTACTAGCTCATGATCATACTGGGTGGAGCTGAAACATGCTTCTGCATGCTATGTAAACTATGTTGTGGTTAAGTGCACAACTCCCAAATCAAAATGGACACTGCCCTCTAGTGCACACATCATTACGTGCAATTATATGCCAGTTAAGGTCAACAGTGTTGCTGAGAAGAGCTGGTGTCTGTGCAGTTTGCATCTTTGAAGTCATGTCACACAGCAGGTCAGGGTCATAGTCATGTTTTTCTAACAATCCAGTAGTTGGTATATTGACTTGGAAAATTGCTAAAACATCCACAACTTCTGGTTCACATTATACATTTGCAAAAGCAGATTGTTTTCCTTGTTGTGACCCACTCGAAGCCCACTACCTCTGAATGTCCCGTTTTTATCTTCAGATACTTTTCCGCTGTCTTTGTATACATGTTTCATCTTTATAGCAATCCAGTCTCAGACTCAACATCATCCATTTTTTGCTCTTTCCTATGAGCTGTATTGTTTCAAAGTTGATAACAAACCAGGGAGGCAATAAGAAATATGAACTGCAGACACTAGAGTGGTATTGTCATGGAAACACCGAGCAGCATCTATGCTTGTTGCTGTGATGAGAAATGGTCTTTTATCAACCAATCACTTTTTTTTTATTATTATTTATTTTTTACATAATACTTTTGTTTTTTTGCAAAGTAGTTATGATTTTCAAATTTTTGCATGTTTTAAGGGTTTAAACGCTGTTTCTCTCCTGCAGGTCGACCTGCTGAAGTCCACAGCCCTTCCTCTGATGAAGAAGTTTGGCATTGATGGAGAGGGCTTTGATCTTAAGGTGAGGCAATTTCAAATATCTTGTATTGCTGTTACTTTAAAGAAAGTTAGTTAGTTAGTTGATTTTTCTTGGTCTTACTCTTCTCTGCTGCTGCTCCCTCAGGTGGTGAAGAGGGGGATGGCACCGGGTGGGGGAGGAGAGGTTGTTTTCACATGTCCTGTCCGCAGGACAATCAGGCCAGTCCAGCTGACTGACCCGGGAAAGATCAAGAGGATCAGAGGAGTGGCGTATCCTTCCCAGGCTCACATAATGGCTGTTTTTCATCTGTACACAATATTAAAGTAATACAAATAGTTATTAAAAAATAACCTTTTTCACAGCTCAGTCCACAATTATTTTCTTTTTCAATGAATGTACTTATTATTTTCTTGATTAATCATTTGTTTATAAAACACATTATGTTCCAAAAGCCTAACTTGACAACTACAAATGTCCTGTTTTGTCCAACCATCAGTCCAAAGGCCAGAGATAATTAGTTTACACTTTATAATACAAAGAAAAGAAGCAAATACTCACATCGGAGAAGCTTGAACAAGACTTTTTTTTTGGCATTTTGCCTAAGAATTACTTAAACAATGAATTGATAATCAAATTAGTTGAATAAGTTTCTGTTGACAGATTGAATCAGTTCTGGCATCTTATCTCATCATAAATATCAGAAATGTTGCCTGGAATTTGGTAGCACACAATATTGTGAGTGAGTTGAGGTGGTTACTGCTTACAGGATGAGTGTAAGGCCCAGGGGACTTTCCTGGATTTGTATTAGATGCCAGGGAATTGTTTTTCTAGTTTGTGCCCTTTACAGAGGAGGAACTCATTTTTTCATCAATGAATATTGGTGAAAGTACACAGCAAGATGACAGTTTGTTTAACACTCACAAACTCTCACTGTTGCAAGCCTTGACAGTCTAAACCCAGGTATTCGGTGCGAGTTTCTCCTCAGATGGCCAACAGGATAGTGGAGTCTGCCAGAGCCGTCCTCAACCAGTTCCTTCCAGACATCTACATCTACACTGACCACATGAAAGGAGCCAACTCGGGCAAGTGAGTAAAACTGTGCATTTATAAGCTGGTAAGTTTCGGCTATTTTGTGTGTTTCTGTATGTCATGCAACACATATTCATAAAAAGACTCTTAATAAATAATTTCGGTTAACCACAGGTCTCCAGGTTTTGGTCTGACCTTGGTGGCTGAGACGCTGAATGGTTCCTTCATTAGTGCTGAGATGTCGTCCACGCCGCAGGGGCAGGGAGACCCTGTACTGCCAGAGGACCTCGGTAGGAACTGTGCCAAGCTACTTTTGGAGGAAGTACATCGGGTAAGCGCAGCAAAGACCACATTTACAGCACATTAACACACGTGTCCGTGTTGTGTTTTTTGAGGTTGATCATCAAAGAGAAGATAAGATCAGATTGCCTTAGGCCTTCTTTGGATGTTTGTTTAAGTCTGTTATTTGACGTACTGTAACCCTCTTTGATTCTACAGGTTTAGCTAGGCTGCTGTTAAAAGTGTAGTCAAGATCTTGTGCACTGTGAACAGATGTTGACATTCATAATCAGAAATGTGTATGAAACCATAGTTTTCATCATTTGCCCAAACAGGCCGTGTGTTCATAAACATCCCGGCTCTGTTTTCATCGAACAAGGAAAGGTGTGCTTTTGATTTGCAGCGTGAAGTCTTTTTTTTTTTTTTTTTTTTTTTTTTTTTTTTTATATTGAAAAGAAGCCTACTGTGAAAATGTGCTTTGTGTTTTAGAAAGGCAGTAGACAAAATTAAACCAGTGTGGCTTTGCGAACAAAAGGCTTTGCTACATCATTGTCCACAGAGTTTTTGGTTTCAGTTGCTCTAATACTGCAGGCAACTGAAGCCTCTTTCATCAACTGAGCTACAAAGCAACAGCTTCTCATCCAACACGTCTGATACTGGTTTACAGAATAGATCCACATGCACACGATTCTCACAATGTATTATTAAATATTTTCAGAGGGATTTTTTTTTCTTAGTCAATTTCATGCTCAAGCCAAATTCTCCAGCAAGTATGACAGTGAAACTTTATATGTAACCTCTTGTACTGCATTGATTTTCCACAGTGAAGAATGCAGTGTTATGATATGATGCTAAAGTTTAACTTCCTCAAAAATCCACTTTGTTTTTTTGTTTGGTTACTGTGCTGGAAAATCTGCATTATCACTGTAAGTTGATATCAGGACTTAGTTACCTTGCACGCAGCAGCTGGAGGATCGGTTTGCAGGTCACTGTCGGATTCAAAATTCTTGGGGAATACCTGACATAAACAGACAAGACACATTACAAACCCAGCATGCAACAATGACTTTCACTGCCCTTGTTTACCAGCGTTCTTGGGTAATGACCATCAATCCAAGTCTGGAATTCAAGTGAGAAACTGTTTGTGGTCAGACCCACAATGTAGAAAGCAACTACAGGGTATTTCCATTCTAAATCAGTCAATTTTTTAGCTCCATTAAGATGGATGCTGTAGCCTGCTTGAGGAAGCGGTCACATAAGTGTGTCTGTGTATTGGAAAAGTGTGTATAGGCATTTTCTGCGCTATTAAGTCTGAAAGGACAGAGTTTAACCTATATTGTTTTATGTGGAGAAACTGAAGATAACAATGAAGTGTATAAAATAGAGCATGGTTACTCTTCTCATCTTTGCTGACTGTCCACAGCATATGGACCAAAGCGCTTCAATTTCTCATCCCCATGTAATATGATTTAACATGCGTATATATATAATTTTAAGTCGGTAAAATTGAAAAAAAAGAAAGAAACCTCTGCAGCTGAAGAGACCAGTTTTAGCAACAGGGCTACATTTCATCAGTTCCTGTTTTTCTTCCACACAGTTACCACGGGTTCGTTAATATGTTACTTTGGTTGGTGGCTCTCTACCTTTTCCCTTTTTTAACTTTCTTGAAACATCCAAGTCAACAAAACTAGCAAAGAATGCCCACTTACTTACTTATTGTATTAATTCTACACCATTGAATTAATTGTAATAAATATGCTGTGTGAGTCTACTCTGAAGTCATAGATAGACCTCCCAGAGGTCAAATGTCAGTGACTGTTTTATTACAGCAGTATTTTAATTGATTAGGTGACATGTCAGCTGAATAGTGTTTGCTCAGCTACAGAAAAAAAAACTCTCACAAAGGCACATTTTATGTATCAGTATCTTTCTACTCATGTAGTGTGTCCCCAACTGTGACTTACAATAGTAGCTGTAAGACAAAGGGACATGGTTGTTACTATAAACATATACACGCACAAAGAATCTGCCATAGTCACACAGGAAAAAGAGCCCACTTCATCAGAATATATACAATTAGATCCAGTGACTCTGTGACTTCAGTTTGGCTCCACATGGCTCTGCCTCACACCCCTCTCTCATAGGAGCCATGTGAGTCCAGTTAGCTGGTCAGGGTAGTGCTGATTAACTCTGAAAGAGGAATATTGTTGGATGCATCTTCTTAACTCCAAGCGACAGAGTGGGGAGCTGATGTTTCTGTGTAGCAGACTTCGAGGATGGTGGATTAATAATCCGTCAATTTTAAACATTTTTGTCCCTTTTTTCATAAAGCCACAGCTGCTGGCAGAACAGGTAGATTCACCGTGTTGGAACAGCTTTTGAATAACTGCTGATTTTAACACCTAACTGCAGTAGGAGGGCAGGGTGAGTGCTACAGCTGAGAAGAGGAGAGAAAGGACAACACCGGAGTAAAATGGATGTGACTCTCCTGCTGGGATTGTTAATTTAAAAAAAAAAAACTGAGAAAGGAAAAGAAATCTGCCGGATTTGCATTAAAGGGCATGGGCGCTCTGTGTGTGTGCGCGTCTTGTTTGTTTTATGGTTAATCAGTACAGTCTGCTTGTAGTAAACCAAAGCTACACGATGGACATTTTGTTTTTGGCAGCAACATCAACACTGGGCAGGAGCTGATGTAAGTGGTGCTCTTAAAATTTAGTTTATTTATACTAAATTGATTAATTTTTATGAAATTTAAAAATATCCCTGAACGCTGTGTGGGCTTGTGTTGACAGTGAGAGTTTACATGTCAGTGTCTGTTTTTGTGATTACATTCAGTTTGACAGCTACAAGTTCAAAAAAAAAAAAAAAATCACAGTAGTGGTTACACAATGAGGCTGAAGACATTGAATATTCAAGGCAACGGTCCAGTCATTGTTCACCCAGGTATTGATTATAGTTTGATTATTATTTCCTATTTTTTTAATCGACGAATTGTCATTTGGGGTTCTCGCTAAATTCAGAACATCTCAGGTTGTTGTTGAAGGGTTCTGAATTGGCCTGAAATCAGTTCTCAGGAAAGAAGCGTGGCCTTGACTGACCGCATTGTTCACGGTTAAGCTAACAAATGCAAAACATGTTGTTATCCACTCAATGTTGTGTTTTACCTGTTTAGGTCGAATCAGTCTGTAAATTTGACACGATATTGCGTCACAGTAGAACTCGCTTGACTGTGTCTGCGCCCACGTTTTCTTTATTTGACTGTTGGGAAAGGGGGGTGTGATTTACTTGAAGGATTTAAGGGACTTTTCCATAAGGCCTCGTGGCTGGTTAGTGGCCGCTTGCCTCTTGGGGCATCTTAACTGTGTGATGTTTCCTTTAGAAGGCACAGCCTGAAACCAGCTGTCGGAAATGGTGTTGAGGCATTATTTTTTTATAGTTTGAAATGCATAATATGTTCTGGAAAAGCTGAAGTAGTTTAAACTTGTGTAGTCCAGATCAGCAACACAACAAGGTAAGGTGCTCGGGCACAACACTTTCTCAGTAGCCAAACTTATCTGCTCTCCAAGTTGCGGACAATGTTCGAGGGAATTTACTGAAGTTGGGTTAAACCTCACTTTAAAGTTTAATCCAAGTTTCTTCCTTTTAAAGAGCACTGTCGAGTTTTTACTGGAGGCAAACAGCATGCTTTGTTTGGTAAAATGTCTTGTGTGAATTGTTACAAATATGAATAACTGACTCTAGGCAGACTGTTGGAAGCTTACTGTGAAAACATTTGTAACATAAAAGTAATAACCATTAAGAAGATAAAAACTTCTGTTAGAATATGGAAAATGAATTAGTCATAGTTATTCTTCAGACTTTTTTAATGGAGTAAAATTTTAGAAATAGGTTGTGATGAAGTTGCCATTCTCCATAAGGGCGCATAATTAAAGTCATGAAGTATTTGAATTCATTTTGACCAAGTCTAATAAATCTCAACCACCTGTGGAAGGAATGTAGTTAACAAAATCTCCTCCTCATCAACAATAAAAACAATGTCACCACATTTTTGCCATGTGGTCGCAGTGATATGATTATGTAATTGAATCATATTCCTGCTGACAAGCTGTCACGATGCCAAAATACTGGATGACTGGGCCACATGCTTATTTAGTTAGAATGGAGACACAGTAGGATACAAGACAGTGATCCTGTGTAGCTGCAGTCAAGCTGTTACACATTTGTATATCAGGTTAGTGCAGGACATGAAATGGTAAATGTCTTGCTGACAGTGGACAGCCATTTTAAAGTTCTTTCATTTTATAAAATGCTCTTGGGTGTGTCCAGTTTTGCATAGGCCTCTTCATACGGGCTGGGGAGTAGCACATAACTGTTATCGAGTAATCACGATGGCATGTGATCACTTGGATACAGAGAGTGGAGCCTCTGTCCTCTAAATATCTCATATGTGAAGGAAAAGAGGGGTAAATTGGGTAAAGGGCTATGATCAGAGGTCAGGTCAGAGGGGACAGGAAAATGCAGCACTCTATGGGGGGAAAAAAAGGAGAGGAATGTTTTCGGTAACTGCTGCTAGGATATATGAAGAACTGTGTTTGTAGAAAGTGTCATGTGAGTAGAAACGAAGAAATGTCACAGTAGCAACTTATAGCCGAAACCATCCACTGTCATTAAGAAAAGCTGATGAAATAAAAATGGTGTACTTTAGATTAAAATGCACAGGTGAATTCAAAAATGAAAAATAAAGGTAAAATCTTCCAGCCCAATTTTTAAGAATTGAAAACGTATTCGCTTCAAGATGTCTGTTTTGAAGCATTGAACATAAGTCTTTCTTTAACTTGGATCCAAATAGTTTTTAGTTCTGTGTTTGTGTAAAAGACACTGTCAGCCTAAATCTTCTGAAAAAAATCTAACCCACAAATGACCTCATGGATTCCCACTATGTTTTTCACATGTAGATAGCTATCAGTGTTGGACCTGAGATAATCAGTCCCTCTGTCAAGGGGTTGCCGAGTTCTTTCTAAACATCTCCACCTCTATGACGTATTTCTCTGTTGTTTTTGTTGCTGAAACTCATCCCCCTCCTCTTTCCCTGTTTTAGGGCGGCTGCGTGGATTCATCCAATCAGAGCTTGGCGTTGCTCTTGATGACTCTTGGCCAACAGGATGTGTCGAAGGTTCTGCTCGGACCCCTCTCCCCATATACGTAAGCTATTTTCCCCATGAACTTTACAAACAGACCCATGGTCTATTCATAAGTTAATATACACTGTCTCCAAATGTAGAACACACTGGACCTTACATTTAGTTATTCTTCTACTAGTGCTTACTTGGCAAGAGACAATAATCCAAAGTTCTTGACCCACTGTTGGGCACAAAATACTGAACAAATAAACAACATGATTTTCACTGGAAAAATACAAGGACTTTTTAAGAGAACTAATTTTCACTTAAATCTGATTTCCCAGAGTAAACAAGCTTTTGTCATAGACACATCTCAAAAAGTTAAGAGAAAATGCAAATGAGCTGCTGATTATGTGCCAGAATTATTCTAATTAAATAGAATTTTTTTTCTCAAATGATGAATAACAAGCCCAAGTTAAATTCAGTCAGCTTTTGATCTCTATTTTTTATCCTTTTCAAATTTTCTCACATACTTTTGAACACTTGCATTATCACAGTGCTTTGCCAGCTGTTCATTCACACGGTCATTTACATGGTCAGTGTCTGTTGACTCAGAGGTGCTAGTAAATAAATCGTTTCAAATGTCAAAGGGTAAAGGAGACAAATAAAAACAGATGAACTCAAAGCTGATTTTCAGACATCGCTCGTCACCATAAACGAGGAGAGAACTATGAACTGTCCATTTTCAGTTATCATGGTACCGGTGCTGTGTCCCTCTCAAGTACAGTACTATGATAACTGAAGATTGGCAGTGCCATCACAATACATTCTTCCCTTTACTCAGGTAATGCTAATGACCCGTTACCTCATTGATGTGCATCTATTGTTTGTTTGTTTTGTTTTTTGAAAGAACTATAAAATTCAGTTTAAATGTATGCATTTTTTTGTCTCTGTAAATTGTCTTTTCCATATAAGTGTTTGACATCGTAGCTTTAAGAATTTAATGTAATGTGCATTAGAGGCAAAACATGGGACTCATGACCTTTTACCTTTACTGAAGCAAACAGCATGACGCAGACCCAGAGCATTGTTCTAGGAAGTCAGTTTGTATTATTTATTGACATTTGGAATATATTTTATCCAACAGAGGGTGAACGCCTCTCCTTTGGGATTATAAAGTGTAAAATCGTGGATATGTCGTAAGCAATAAAGCATAAAAATTAAACTGAAGTTTCATCCCCCATTTCTCTTACTAACTTTCTCCTGTCCTTCCTCTCCCTCCTCTACCCATCTGTCTCGCTGTCTCTCCAGGATCGAGTTCCTAAGACACATTAGAGATTTCTTCCAGATCATGTTCAAGATCGAGGTCCAGAAGCCTTTAGAAGACGAAAGGAAAGGGGGAGACAAGGTCCTGATGACCTGTGTAGGAGTCGGTTACAGCAACATAAACAAAGGTCTAAAATAAAAAAGTATTTTTATATAAATGGCATGGTGTTGTCTCGTATCTCTTTGCTCACTCACATCCAATAGTAGAACATGGCATTCTTATGTGTTTTTAAATGTTAAAGTTATGACATTGGTTATCTGTGTGTATGTTGCCAACTTTAAAGCTTTTTGTGTTACAATATACCACAAGATAATACTGAAGTTAGACGTTAGCAGTTATATCAGTCACATGGAATATAAACAACTTCATATGCATGAATTTCAGCTACTGTTGAAGTGTTGGTGTTTGAATCATCCAGTCTACACGGCACGGTAGTGAAAACATTAACATCTAGTTGCACATTATTGGAATTCCACATTAAAAAGCATTTTGAAATGGTTAGTTCCAGTCATCGTCCCGGCTAAGCTCAGGCAAATGTATCGGTATGAATCTAATGAAAAGGTAAGTGACTGGTCATCATTATCATTAGATGCAGCTCTTCACGTCTACTTTTTGATAAAGCTGCAATTTACACCATATGTTTCACATCACAAGAAATGGGAGGAGTTAGTCGTCTTGGCCACAGAGATGTTTCAGGGTGTTGCCATAACTGCCCGAAACTTCAGACTGCAGAAACAAAAACAGGAAATCGTGTTTATGGTTTAAGGACATGTAAACATAATTCTTGGCCAATGTCTAAAACAAGACACTGATATTTCACCACTGCTGAATATTTATATTCATATGTTGAGATTTTCTTTGGGTGTATGTACTGACCTCTAACTGGGAGTAGAGGGAACATCCAAACAGCTTCTTGTACTCGGCTCTTATGTCCAACAAATCAATCTCTGAGCGGCTGACAAGTATCCTGGTCAGAGAGGACTCTGTGGTCCCTAAACCCTGGACAAAGCAGCACAATGAATTTTGGGATCAAACAGTTGTAAATAGGTTCGTGCTAGATCAAATGAAGAAGCAGTATCTACTTTCTCAGTAATGACTTCTATTATTTGTTCACTTCAAATGTAATATCCTGTAGTATGAAATAACGGCTGCCTCTGTGTCTGCATAGCTTTACATTTCTGTTATCTGCTGCTTTAGCACCTGTTGACACATTTCAACCAATGTTGCACATTTTGACAAAGCAGCAGCAATACAACAGTGGCTTAACATTCCTTTCCACACCACTAGTGAGCAATGCAATTGTCTACTGTGGATAAAAAGGGCACACACAGCCACCAAACAATATGTGGATTTCGATGGGACATTTTGCACAGCTTACCTTCATGCTCTTGAAAAGCCTCTCGGCGAAGTATGCAGGAACGCTCTTCACACATTTAACTAGACAGAAAAATAAGTTAACAGACGAAAAACATTTTTTATGATAACTTCTGTGCAGTGATTTACTTATCTCACGTGAGAATAGAGATACAACACAATAAAAATGGACCAGTGTTCAACGGTATAGTGAGAAATAGGCACATTTTTCTCACCGACAGCCACCAGTAGCTTCTCCATGTTTCCAGACATCTCGCTCTCAATGCTCTCCTGCAGAGTCTTCTTGCTAATATTCTTGTACTCAACCAGAGCTGCCAAAATATAACAGAGATTTGAATACAACTTTTTTTTTTTCCTGTTTAACAGATTTCTCTTATGATTTTTTTTCACCACAGTGGCTGCTCTAGAAATACCAGTGAAAAAGTAGTGGATGTAGAAATAGCAATGTTGGTCTGTTGGTTAGTCCATCACGTTGGTCAAGACTGAAATATCTCAACAACTGTTGGATGAATTGACATGACGTTTTTTTTTTTTACAGATATTCATGGGTCCCAGAGGGTGAATCATAATCACTCCTAACTTTGCCTCTAGTGCCACCATGAGGTGAACATTTTTGAATTTTTGACTTGGTGAAATGTCTTGAAAACTGTCCATGGTGCCCTGGGGATGAATCCTAATGAATAACTAATACTTTTCATCTAGCATCTAGATTTATTTGTAACTAATGACATTTCCCTTCACCTCAGCTTTGTGTTTTGTGCTAACTAGCGAAGTTTAACATTAAAACATGCTAAACTAAGATGGTTAAGATGGTAGGCATAGCTGCTTGCATTAGCATTGTCATTGAGAGCATGTTAGCATAATGACATTAGCATTCAATGGACCATTGTTCCAAAGTACAGCCACAAAGAGTACACAAGCATGGTTGTAGACTCTTAATTTTGTTTTTTATTAGATTTGCATCTATTAAGAAAATATGTAACGGGTGCACTCACTCTGTCGAAGCTGGGGAATACTCCTGTGGCACAGGATGTCAATAAACTTGTCCTCATCAGTACCCCACTTCTTCTCCCCTGCTTCATACAGCGCCTGGGTAGAATGAAAATGAGTGTGAGAATATATAGCTTTACACTTTAAATCCAATTGTTCTGTCAGTGGAAAGTTCAGAGAAACTGCATGACGTCATTCAAAGGATTTTAGCATGGGAACAGTGAGCAGGTTCAGACTGGCATCACATAAGCAAGTAAGGTGTGTTAACTGATGTGAGCGGTGCCTTCGAGCCCATTGAATATGAGGTCAAGCTAAAAATATCAAACTAGCAAGTGAAGAAGTGTCTGACACAGTTGACTAAACTCTACAGTGGTTTTAATGCCACTGCTCTGATTTCTTTGCATCCATACAACCTCATTCAAACTACCACATGCTCACTACATTAGCTTGCTACATTACATGGGCTTCGTGGCTGCAGTGAGCAACATTGAAAAACACAGAAAGAGATGAGAAAACAAGGGTTGGTTACATGATGAATGATTTAAATGTAGCGAACGTACCTTAGCATCTGCTTTAGCTTTGGCAGTATCCACATTGGTGCTCTCGTCTCTCTTTCCCTGTGAGGATGAAGAAGAAAATAGAATAAATTCAATTAATTTGTCCTTTGCTCAGAAATCCATTTAAGTGGTGAGCCTTTTTGAATTTAATTTTTAATATCCTTGTCACAATTCAACATCTAAGTAAATATTGTTTTTCACGTCATAGCAGAGCTTCCCAAAGATTTACAGATCTTGTAGAAAACAATTAAAGCCTCTTACTGAAGACTGATTGTATTATTGTGTCAACTGCGTTTTGTCTTACATAATAAAATATGAGTTTTATCTGAAGTTCTAGATAAGAAATATGAAACTTATTTTTCATATGAGGCTTTTTGTTACGTAGATTCTTTATTTATGAAGAAAAAAGAAAATGTAGGTTAATTTTTTTTTTTCCATGACATTTTTTGAGACAGGATAGGAATGTAGCTGCTGTCTGGCTACAATAAATTTATAGCTTTGGGTCTGATTCTCATTTGCTGGAAATACCTTCTGATAGCACATCACTGCTTTAATTTTAATATACAGTACCTCAGCCAAGGTGAGCAGTGCTTTGCCATAATCTCCAGACACCTCTGACTGCAGATCATGAATCAGCGACCTTCCCGTTTCTTGAATGAAACAGCACAAAATTAAGTTTTTCAAAATAATCAGCCACATAGCATCATGAACTTCTGCCAGCGGTTTCGCAATAATTTGAGTTACTATGTGATCTGTCCAATTACAAAAACATTGGGTAGACGATACAAACCTGCCAGGTATGTTTCAGATATGGTGTTTATCTGTCTGTTGGATCTCGAGGCAAAGATTTCTGTCAGCGTACTCTCTGTGGTCCCTGCGCCCTGTATGTAATGCACACAAAATGTGATATACGCAAGCAAATGATGACAAAAATATTAATGATAATAGAGTTCTTAGAGTATAAATGCAGATATAGTAAAATTTCACAAATCCAAAAAAATCTCAAGCAAATTAAGTCTGTTTAGATAAATTACATCATGCAGCACTGAGCTGGACACACAATCTCACCTTGATGGCTTTGATGACTTCATGACAGTCATAGACAGCAGGAGGTGTTACCAAGGCTACTAACAAGTCTTCAAAGTCTCCATGGGTGTCACCCTCCAGGTCAGCTACTAATTTCTGATGGAGGAAGGTAATAACAACAACACATGTTGTACTCCAGCTCTCATTTTTTCTTTGTCCCACAATTAATATCTGAAAATAAATATGCAGTTATGTACCCTTCCTGTGCCCTTCTCATAGGCCTTGGCAATAAGCTGACGCTGAGCATTACTTCTTTGGGTCAACACTTCAATCAATGTTTTTTCTGTTGTACCTATAAAGAAGAGGACAACACAAAACAGGCTTACCACTCACACTGCACTTGGAAAGTTTTACAACCTTTCATAAAAGATGAAGTTTGTTCCACAAACTGACAATTGCTTTACATGTTTCTCTGATATAGGCTGATAATGGTTACTCATTAGCTTACCAAGGCCCTCCATGGCCTTCCTTAGTGCAGCCACATCTTCTTCCACTTTGAAGTTTGCCTTGTCCTTTATAGTTCCTCTTGCACTGGACTGATAAACACACAGCACATGCTCACATTGAAAAATGATCACCCAGTAACCATGCCGTTATGTATATCTTATATTCTGAGCTGTCCCATATGTCACTATCCATTCAAGCATTAGCAAACTGAATGATAATAGTCATAACCAACATTATCATCATCTCCATGAACAGGCCCTGCACATGAAAAAGGTAAGGGTATGTTGAACTTACAGTCACAGTCAATGAGGAGGGGGAGTCTAAGAGCAGGTCCAAGTCATCCTACAAAAGGAGTCAACAAACATGCTTACATTATTACCTGTAATTTTCTCTTATATTAGGGCTAACCTCTGATTTAAATCATATCATCACTCACAGATTGTCTACAACTACTTACCCAAACAGACATTGTTGTGTTTGTAGAGAAACAGTCTTAATCTAGGGAGAAGAAAAATCATATAGGATTAATATCTTCATATCACTGCGTAGTGATAGAATTTATTTCTTCACTTATGACTGATTGTCTTTGCTGTCTGCACATTTCTCTTCAACTTCATCCTCTGACCGTCAGTGCTATTGGTTTGAACCACCTCGAGTAACATAAACATATACGATGGATTATTCTTCTAAATGTCTGCGTGTAACTCCACAGTAACCACCCGGATTTGACTGTTAAAAGGTTGGGTCATCCAACGTAGTCTAGTGGACACTTGAACAGAGCTGAAGAAAAATCAAACCCATAACATTTTAATCTCGATCGCTGCAATGTGAAATACAGTTTTGCTGAACAACAAAGCGTTAAACGAAAAAAAAAAAATCAGGATAAAGTCAGAATATTGTTTTTTTTTCGTCTTTCGTCTTACCTATGTGAGAGGAGAGGTTTGATGTCAAGGGAGGAATTTCACAGTATGTCAAAATCGCCACACCTTTCAGAGAAGTTCAGAACGCAACGCCCATTACAAACGAGGAAGTTGAATCATGGAGACGTCTCATATAAACTCCTCCTCGTGTGTACACAGTAACAGTGCTGCCGTGTCACCGATCTTATGCAGATACTCACTGGGATTTATACTACGTCCTCTATGTAGTTTGACTGCTTTGTGCAACAATCTATCCACGCCACGACAGAGTAACATCATCTGCTGAACAGCGTTGCTTAAACAGACTTTTGACTTGAACACAGCATTGAAGCGTCCGCAGCAGCGATTAGGTTTCAGGAACAACCCATGCAAAGTAGTGGGTCTAATGTCAATGTTTGCTCTCAGGGCAGGGGCAGAAAGGTATGAGTCAGAGAGAGGAAGGAAATTAAGAAACAGGAAAAAATATTTGTTTTAAGTCGGACTTATCTCTTTATTTCATCACAGTATTTTCCTTTGGCAGAGCTAAACCAAGCCTTAGTTAACTTAAATATATTATAGATAGATACTTCATTCATCACCTAGGGGGAAATTCAGGTGTCCAGCAGCTCACTAGTAGTTGTAATAATAATAATAATAATAATAATAATAATAATAATAATAATAATAAAATTAGTCTAGTTCCTTTCCCTGAGATGTTATACAGCCTGGTGGCAGTAGGGACAAAGGATCTCCTGTAAATGTGATGTGTGATGTGTATTGGGAAATTATTCAAAAATAATGAAATGGATGTGCTCAACTGAGACAGAGCAAAATTCAGAGATAGCTCTACTCAGCATCCCGAGGCAAAACTAAATGTGTACAAGAGCTGTGTCAGCTCACCACCGCATCCTACACCGTAGACGACTGTTATCAAAGGGAACCAAGGCAGCAGGATCCGGACTGACCCCTAGGAGACTCAAAGCAAATCTTCAGGGCGGCATGAAGATCCATCCTGTGTGTGTGCTGTCACTGATACACCATAGGAAAAATATCCTGTAGTCAAGTGTCTATTAACAAACAAATGCATAAAATCCAGGTGATGATGACTTGTTCTGAAAGACAGAGAGGAGAGGGCCCTCTTGTGGCTGGTTGTAAACACTACAGAAGTGACCTCTGGGCAAGGAACCAGACAGATAAGATATGAGGGTTTGTGAATAATTTAACTGCATGGATACTTTTCACTGGGTATGGGAATGAAATGTTTCAGGTTCATTGTGATCTAGTTGAAAATACAAAATAATATTAATTGAGTGTAAACATTTAGACAAATATAACATGCACAATGCGTTTGCTGACCCAATAACAACTTTTTTTCAATACAGGTTTTTGAAAGCCATTGTTTTCCTTTTTCAGTTCAGGTTTTATTTTCGATGTCATATTTTATTTTTGAGCGAATTTGGATTTACAGTGTAGAAGAAGGCGGTAATCCCTATTTCTTCAGAGATTGCATTTTCTAGTATTATGTATTATACACCCTTCTTGACTCCACCTACATTGTGACGTGTGTCTGTAGAATTATGATTTTGCACTAAGTAACGACTGTAAGGGAACCTCCCTCCTGCCTGGATAACAACCCGACGCCAGTTACATTAACCTAACTGTTACAAAACCCTAAACCACTTGAAGGGTTGAACTTGTTACAGACGAATCTTCTTGTTAGCGTACGTGGAGGTGAGGTTTGCCTAAGAACCTACATCAGGGCAAAAATTTCACGAAGTAGCAGCACAACCGGTCGGGTGGCGAAAAATCCTGCCTGTACTTTGACAGCTCGGTACTCGACGTCTGTCATAGAGTACTGTATGGTCGTGATACTTGAGGACGTGTCATCGACCATTTAACTGTATGACAGTCACTTTACACGGCAAGTGAATCGTTTGTTTTCAGATGAAGGTGTTAAGCTAACTTTATCTAGCTAACACTTTATATGTAGGTAAGCTTGTAGCTAACTGGCGCTGCTAAAGACTGACATTGTGCTAGCAACTTGTTAGCTGGCTAGCGGCGACAGGGATACTCGCAGCACTGTGATGGCCAGCGAGGGTTAGCCGCACTCTGCCATCAATTTGGTAACTACATTTTTATTTTCTTTATATCTCTTTCCGTTTCTAGATTTAAAAAGTGTTCTGTTAGCATTTTTGGGGTTAGCCGGTGCTTATTTTTATTTACAGGATAACGTTGACAGATATTCTTCATCGAGGCTAAGTTGTAGCTTGCTGCCTCTGTTGTTTACATGTGTATACATGGATAGCGGTCAGCTGGAGTGCTCTTTGTGTGGCATGCGGTGGTCGTAACAAGACTGGATCGACTACAGAACAACCCAAGTAGAGATATGGGAATGGAGCTGGGAGGTAGCTAACGTCTGTCGACGTTAGCCAGAACTGTACAGCCGACTCTCCGTTGAAAATGAGGAATAGTGGGGTTCTAAAGGAGGACATCTGTGCCTGCTTGGCTGTTTGATTATCAGTGGGCGTTGGACAAAGGACAGGAGCTTGTTTGTCCATTTTAAAGCTAAACGTGAGGCAAGACTACACGAGGAGAATAAGAAATAAACTTTGCTGGGACCACCGTTCTGGCGCTGGGATGATGATGCTAAAGACCCTACTGATCACCAGTCTTCTTGGCTGGGTGAAATGTCAAGAGAGCCAGAGCATGACATCAGAGGAGAAGACTGTTATCAGGTGAGCAACGTTTAGACATACATAATGTTTATGTTTGTTTGTAATTTTTTTTATTGCAGAAGTCTCTGCAATATTGTGAAAAATATCACAGAGTATATGCCATTTTCTCATTTGATTAATTTATATTTTACCCTTTTTGCAGGGACCAGATTATTGAAATGTTTGATCACGCTTATGGCAGTTACATGGTAAGGTGTTCACTTGGATTTACTAATTGCAATTACCACTATATTGAGATTTGCATGTTTCAGTTGTCTGAAGGGAAGTTTAAAAAGAAAGATGAAGCAGTCACAACTCAAGTAACACTTGTAGTCTAAAGAACAACTTAATCGTGAAAAGAAGTATCACAAGAAGAAGCGTTTTGGCTTGTGGCCTTCAGCAGGGCCTTCCAGTAAAGACAAGTTTGAATCAGTGGCTGGACAGAGTCCTCAGTGCATATGGATCAGATTTAGCAGGGTTGTGCAGAAAGGAAACATGCAGGATTTGGTTGCAGCTACAGTGACAGCCAGGTGCAACAGATGCCAGCTGAACATTCTGTGATCCAGGATTCAGGCTTTTCTTCATGTGAAGTAAGCCAAAAGTGATCAGGTCATGGGTGGCTCAACTCATTCAGTGGACCAGAGTTTTAATGTGACCTGGGTCTGTATAAGTCCAAAACTGGACCTGGCAGAGTGAGAGACGCAGCAAGGAGCTTATAACTAAGCCAAGTGTATTATAGGTTGCAAAGACAAAATATTGGTAAGAAACTGATGATGGTAGTTCAGAACAAGAGCTGTGGAAGTGTTTAAAAGTGGGATATTGCAGATTGAAGCATTGGTGACAAAGATCATTTTTAGTTGAAGAGAGTGGTGTTACTGAGTGTTGGACATGGTAGACAAAGAGGTGAGATTACCCCATTATGAAGTACTGTTTTCTATGAAAGAAACCCTTGGTATCAGTTACCAGCTGTTAGCAGCTGTTAGCAGATAATAGCCATACAAATGCTTTAACAAATTACTTTCCTTAGTTAGAATTGAGGTTTTTACTTAGTTTCTGTACATGTGTGTCCCTGTAAGTCAGGTCTCAGTTTTGGTTCTCAGTACCCAGAACCCTAATTATTTTCATTCAAGTCATTTATTAGTAACTAATTGAAATACGGGATGCAAATTGGATCAGGGGAATGGCGTGTGGGAAACAAAAAACTGTTCACTATTGATGCTGCAGTTGCATAAGCTTTGGACTGCTCATTTCTTTTTTCCTCCGAGAGAATTTTCAACCCTCCAGCCATCTTTGCTTAATGACGCCTTTTCTGTAGACTGTTAAATGAAGCCTGAACACTGTTACTATTGGTTGTGTTGCAGAAATATGCCTATCCAGCCGACGAGCTAATGCCTCTAAGCTGCAGGGGGAGAGTACGTGGCCTGGAGCCCAACAGAGGCGACATAGATGACTCCTTGGGAAAGTAAGTTCATCATCCACTGGCATCTGGAGTCTAAAAGGATCCAGTGAGGTTAATTCAGCCTCAACAGTTAAATTCCCTCAAGCAAACAAAGCCATGTATATTTAATCCATCAGTTGGCATTAGTTCAGACCGAAGCCATTATCTGTCCTTTAAGTTTAACTAGTTTGAAGGGGTGTGTGTCTTTACAGCATTCCTTCATAGAGCTGTGCAACAGTTGTTTGTTAAACACCTGAATTGCTGAATGTTAAAACTAACCAGAAAAGCAGGCCTGGGCATTTTTTTTGTAATTTGTATCCACCTTCCCATTTTAATTGTAGTACACCCTGATTTAAACTTATCATCTAAAGTTGTGTAGATTGGAGCATCTTTGTGTTTTTTGTTACTGGCCATGATACAGGCTACTATAAATTAAACATTGAGCAAATATGTAGGGCGAATGTAGGAATATAAATGGTGATATTTGTGCGATGTCATCTCTTCATGGAAAACATTCTGCATCTTCAAATAAGACAGGGACTGACTAATGACTGCTTACGCAATACTATTCTCTTCCAAACAGATTGAATCTGACATGGAGCAGATGCCCTATTTTTTCAGGAATACATGAAGTTGATGCCAATTTAAGTCTTTTATAGTGAAATTTACAAGAAGGAAATAAATTATGGATTTACAGTACAGTACATACATTTATGTACTACACATGTTGCGCAATGCAATTTCTCTGCAAATGCAACAGAGCTGACATTTAACAGTCAGTGGTTCATTACAAATTAAACTGGATCAGTGGTAAAGTGGGACACCAGCTCCACTCTGCTGTGCTTCATAACATTTCTTCCTCCTTCTCTGTAGGTTCTCTCTCACATTGATTGATACCCTTGATACCCTGGTGGTGAGTACTTGCTTTTCATGTTCACTAGCATGAAAGCAGTTTTCTCTGCTTTTGTTTTTGAGCCTCCCACAATGTGTTTTTTTTTTCCTTTTTAACAGTAAATGTATTAATTCTTGTCTGTTTGTGTGTGACCAGGTGTTAAACAAGCTAGACGAGTTTGAGGACGCAGTGAGGAAGGCTGTGAAGGATGTGCGCCTGGACAATGATGTGGTGGTGTCTGTGTTTGAGACCAACATCAGAGTTTTGGGGTGTGTAACATGTCTGAAATGAATTTACTTTTCTACTGTGTATATATATATATATATATATATATATATATGTATGGTCTTTTTTTAAATAGAATAGTCTTAATAACTAAATCTGATTGATGTGGAAGGTTTTGAATTTTTGAATTATTCTGAATGTAGAATTATTCCACATCAATATAGCATATTACTGTTACTGCTGTATAAAGAACCCTGACCTTTCTACTTAATTTTGTATTTTGAAAAGAAGATTTCTTTTCTTCCTTCATGTAATTGTCCCAGAGGGCTTTTGGGTGCCCACGTGATGGCTGACCTGCTCCGTCAGCGGGGGGACAGGATGCAGTGGTATCAAGATGAGCTTCTACACATGGCCAAAGAACTGGGGCATCGATTACTGCCTGCCTTCAACACCACAAGTGGCCTTCCCTACCCTAAGGTACTCCGTATTGTATTGTTAAATATCACAGGATCTTATTTTAGGTCTTGATTTTGCAGATGGAGCAAACAGCCTGTTATCAGACCTTATTATGGATGACGCTGACATTTGACTCATTGCATTGATTGAGAACAATTCCTCACACTCACCACAGAGAGACTAATGAAGAAGATATTTCTAATTTTAGTAACTGACTAAAAATAATTTGAGCTAAGTGAAGTAACAATATTAATTTCTCTTTTTTGGTTTATCAGGTGAATCTTCGGTATGGAGTCCTGAACCCACTTTCACGCACAGGCACTGAATCAGACACCTGCACGGCCTGTGCAGGAACAATGATCCTGGAGTTTGCTGCCCTCAGCAGAATGTCAGGAGAGTCTGTGTTTGAGGTATTACCTCCCTCTGCCTCTCTAGAAGATTAGGCTTTTTTAATGTTTATTGATTTTCTAATACACGCTTAATCTTAAATTAATGATATCTAATATAAGAACACAGTACAATATTCATTTTGTTACAACTTTAGCTGGCTATGGCTGATTTCAGTTTTTGAAAGATGAAAACACACGTGAATGATGTACCTGTTTTTACCAAAAAGATTTTAGGGACATAATATTCACTGTTTTACAGGAGCATGCAAGGAAGGCTATGGATGTCCTCTGGGACAGGAGACAGAGAGGAAGTGATTTGGTGGGGACTGTCATCAATATCCATAACGGAGAATGGGTCCGCAGGGGTGAGGCAATTTAAACACACACATGTGCATAATGTAAAATTGTCAAAACTTTGGTAAAGGAAAGGGAAGAAATCACAGCTGTGCTCACACAGACAGTGAACCAATACAGAATACTGATAGTTCAGAAATACACATACAATACATACATGCACAGCTCTCTCCTTGAACCACATTGCAGTAATCTGACTGTTCTCTCACTTCTGTGTTTGCAGACAGTGGAGTTGGGGCAGGTATCGACTCATACTATGAATATCTAATGAAGGCCTACATTCTTCTAGGAGATAATGTTTTTCTGGAGAGGTTCAACATTGTAAGTTCTCCATTGGTGTATCCCTCGATATACTGGTAGTTTATAAGTCTATAGTCCATCCATTTGGCCCCTGTAGTATTCTTGCTCCATATTGCAACATCATTAGCCTGCCATTGATTTTTTTTTATATTGTTATTGTTTGGATTGAAGACATTTTTCAGTGTTTGCTAATCTATTTTTCATGATGTTTGTCTATGACAGCACTACAGTGCCATTATGAAGTACATCAGTCAGCCTCCCCTGCTGCTCAATGTACACATGCACAACCCCACTGTGAGCGTGCGCAGCTGGATGGACTCTCTCTTGGCGTTCTTCCCTGGCTTACAGGTCAGGTATCCTGTCTTAAGATACACTCGATTAATCACATTTACCCCCATTGAAGCAGCACTGTAGAAGGTGATAGCAGAGAGGTGTCGACAAGTGCTAGTTATTTAATTTAATTAGAAAATTGTTGCGTGCGTGTTGCTGGAGTGACATTTTATTTATTTTTTTCACAGGTTTTAAGAGGAGATCTGAAACCAGCTATTGAGACTCATGAGATGCTTTACCAAGTCACCAAACAGCACAAATTTCTTCCGGAGGTAAACAATCTCTGCTCTTTTCGCTCTAATAATCAATATTAGTGGGAAAGATGGATAATATCTTATATCATGGTAAACATAATTTTAACCAATAGAATTCTTATTTGTTATATGACTCAGATCAGAATGTCTCTTATTGCCTATTTTACTGAATTCACTGAAATAAATATGTGACAAACTGAGGTAATTTATCATTATAACCAGTAGGAAAAAAAATTCTATTATCTCACTAAATATATAGTTATATCCATATAACCAGCATATTTCAGGTTATGACACATTTATTTTAAAGTTGGTGTGTAATATCCATTTAAAACCACAGAATTAACAAATACTGTAGTTGTGCAGCAGCTGTAACAAATGCAACTTTGAGAAATAAGTGGAACTGTTTTGTGGCTTCGTCTTTGTGAAAACTATTCATCCATGTAAAATATGAAAATATTTTTAGAGGAAGCCAGTGTCACTAACTGTCTCTTTCTTTGGTGAATCTCCCTGCAGGCTTTCACTACAGAGTTCAGAGTTCATTGGGGCCAACACCTACTGAGACCAGAGTTTGCAGAAAGCACCTACTACCTCTATAAGGTGAAAAAAGCTGACTGGACCGTGTCACAGACAGAAATAAACTACAATAATCTTGTAATTAAGAAGGCTCAGGTCTGTTAGAAGTAAGCCAACTAATGAAACTACTTCACTCTTGTACTGTACACCAATGAGCCAAAACATTATATAGTTAATAACATTTATTATATCATAACAATGGTGCATGTCAAGGTTTGAGATATATTAGATGGTAAGTAAACCGTTCTCGTAGTCACCGTGTTGGATGTTGTTTTGGTGGCATGTGAAAAACCAGCAGCATATTAGGCAGGGGTGGCCATGAAGTTTTGACTCATCAGTGGATACACAAGTCTTTTTCATAGCAAACAATAAGTACCATGTCAGACTGAGGGAAGGAATTTTTCAGTTAGTCTGTAAGTGTATACACACAAGGTCAGTCACAGGGCACCATAGCCCATTGTTTATCTCTAGCCTTGTGAATGTGCAGCTGCTCCACTATCATCTGCAGTTGCCACAGTAACCAAGCAGGCCTCTTATTGATAGTGAGTATTGGAAGATACAAATTTTGAGGCACCTATAGTCCCAGAGACAAATAGTGTGCATACTAAGAGAAAAGTAAAGGAAGATCCTCAACATGAGTTTGGTAAGACTTGGGTTTAAGTGTCCTCTAGAAGTTTAACATGAGTATGTGAGAGATATGGAATAGCCTGATTGGGGAATATAGTTGATAACAGGCGAGTTTGAGCCATGTGACAACTTGGGGGTTTATAAATGCCCTGTCTAGAGGACAGCTTCAGATTTGGGGTGGCGTTACACTAGTTAACCTGTTAACATTTGTAATTGTTCATTATCTATCCCCTCGGTGCTTCGAGCAACAATTAATATTTCTGATTTAGACATTGATGTCTCCTGAAAACTCCTTCATCCAGCTCACAAGATTTCCATCACACAGAGATATGGTCAAGATTATATTTTATTTTTTGCAGGCCACTGGTGACCCCTACTACCTCAGAGTGGGACAGTCCATTGTGGAAAAGCTCAATGCCTACGCCAGGGTGCCTTGCGGGTTTGCTGCTGTGCAAGATGTCCGCACTGGGGCACATGAAGACAGGTATCATGTGAGAGAAATACCATTACAAACATGTTTAAAATTACCTGAAAAGGTGTGGACTACTGAAATGCATTTTAATAATAAATTGTAATTCTATGTATGTGTATGTATGTATATGCATGTTATGTGTGTGTAGGATGGACTCCTTCTTTCTGGCAGAGATGTTTAAATACCTGTACCTGCTGTTTTCGGAGAAGAGCCAGCTGCCCATCGATATTGATGACTACATCTTCACCACAGAGGCTCACCTCCTCCCCGTCTCTCTCTCTACCACCAAGCCGCCCTGTAAAGGCAACATTACGGTGAGAGCTCTTGCTTCATCACTAACACAGGTACACACATTATAGTACAGTTTTTGATTTTGAATCTCTAATTGATGCAAGCTGATACTTCCAACAAACATGACAAGAGTAATTTAACTTTGTATAAAACAATTATTTGTTCATTTAGTTTATGACACTACTTTATATAATGCAATTATTAATTATTATTGCCATAATTTATACTTTATATTATTGTGTATTAGAAGTAAATGTTGTAATTCTGTGTGGGATTACATTATGGAGACTTCATCATTCATTTGGTTTTTATGACAGTGCTGTAGATGTAGTGCACAGTTAAAATGCAAACTTGACCCTTTAATATGTAAAGTGTAAGAGCTTATAAGTTTTGTTTAACTGTGGGTCATGTTCTCTAGGAGACTGTTCCTGTTTCTCAAGAAGAAGATCTGTTCACACATTCCTGCCCCAGCACAGAGACGTTGTTTCCCAACAACCCTTCATTTGCAAAAACCATCCGGGACAGCTACAAGTACCTCACTGGGGTGGGACGAGCCTTCCGCCCCTTACCTGTCAGGTGCGTCCAGTTGCAAGCAGTTTTTGATTTTATAGTGAAATCACTGGTGAAACCTGCTATCCATTATTATTTTGAGTTTTAACCTGTGTTTGTTTGCACTTTACAGGGAAATTGAACTACCACTCCACGATAATGGCATGGAACCAGTGGAGTTTTTGAAAAGCATGGGCATTTCTCTCACTCCACTGAATGAGCTCGCAGCGGGGGACACTGGAAATCTGAAGGTATTTTTGTATTAATCTCACAACCTGACGTTCTGCCTGTCTTCCCCACGTTTATCTGTTTAAAGTGACCCATAACTGTAGGCAAGTAAGTCTAAATAATTATAATAAATTTACTAAGCCACAGCATGGTCCCATTGACGTATTTAACTGAAAACCCTTTAGAATTGAGTCCTCACACCAAACTTTTGTTTTGTATAATGCAATGCAGGATGTTTCTGTTAAGTAGCGTGTAGTATCCAGTCACTAAAATGTGTAATGGAGTTGCAGATATTTAAAAAGATATAGGAAATGCATGTTATTATGACATATGATTTTAAAGCAGATGGCCAAATCAGTCAAACACTATTGTGCCTCTATTTATCTACTTAATGTAATGTACTTAATGTACCTCATGTAGGACCTTATTTGATCCATTTGGCTTCAGTGATGCACTCAAGCAAATTGAACTGTACATTTTTATGCTGTCAGTGTGCTTCAATGGAGCTATCAGGTTAATTATACAACCTGCTGTGGAACCAATTATATATTTCAGATTATACAAATAACAGGGCTTTGAGCTGCATCGATTTAGAAAATCTAACAGATTTCTTGATAATCTTATCAGCTATGCTATGCTCTGTATTTACTTCAGCCGTAAGCATGTCTCCTCTGGAGACACAGCAAATGGGTTACCAATCTAATTCCGCTTTTCTAAAAGGTTTGTAAGGATTGGGTTAATAGCAAAGTTAATTGGGTGAAAATTGGGTCAAGGTAATGAATGCACTGCTTTAATGGTAAAAATGCCTGGAGTGTAGGTTACTGTACACTACCACATACACTGTTTTCAATACAGTTTTCTAAATATGAATCCCTTCAGGAGCACAAAGGAGTCTACCGGGTAAAACTTGTGGCAGAGGTAAGCCAGACAGCAGAGGAGGAAGAGGTGGTGCCTCATGTTGTTCAGCTCATATCTCCCCCATTTCTGGGTCGGACAGTCCTCACAGCGGGACCTGCTAAGTTTGGAATGGACCTTTCCAAACAGGAGCACGGGGTGAGTTTCCAGTGTGACAGTCATATGGTAAATAGTGTCAATATCAAGGCTTGTAAACAAATCATATATCTTACTGCTGTAGAAACAGGTGATGTTAAATGATGTTATGAAATCACTTACTTTTCAGTGGAGTGATTAAAAAAGATGAACTTTAACAAACAATATAATTAGCCCTGGCCAAAATATTTACTCCTACAAAAACATTACAAATTTCTTCCCGAACTGTACAAATGTTACCTGTTCTGTTTAACCTGCGATTCACTTTATCTCCCTCTATTTAAGATACACAATAATTTACAATAACACACTCAAACTCTTGTGCCACAGGTGAAGGGCAGCATAGTGAAAGCCTCCCCCTATACTGCCTGTGGGCCAATAGATAACACAGTGGAGCTTAAAGGCCGGATCGCTCTGGCATTGCGTGGTGACTGCATGTTTGCTGCAAAGGCTCGTCGGCTACAGGAGGCCGGAGCCATAGGAGTCATCTTTATAGGTGAGGAGCTGAAATCAAAATGCTGCTCAATATGCAGAGTTTAGAATACCTGCCAAATACTATGAAGAGTGGACCTCACAGAAATGAATTGATTCTAACTATTCCCTTATTGTCTTTTTCAGACCACCGTGAGGGAAGTAATAGCGAGGAAACTCCCCTCTTTCAGATGGTTGGCGATGGAGACTCCACTGAAGACATCACCCTAGCGCTGGTCTTCCTGTTCAGCCGTGAGGGTGCAGTGCTCACAGCTGCCCTGGAGGAGCATCACAATGTGGATGTGCTACTGCTGCCCAAGGAGAGGCAGCTGGGACATGGTGAGAACCAGGAAGAGACAGATTTAAAGGATTTTCTATATATGTGATATACCATATTGTTGTTATTGCCAAAAAATCCCATTACAAGACTAAAACCAACCGACCATCTTTCAATACTTTTCCGCTGAAGACCTACATCTTTTAAAAACGGGTCACAAATACATAGTTACATTATATAGTTTCCTAAAACAGCTGGGCACTGTATTTTTTTTTTTAAATAGGAGTAAAATCTGTATTTGCTGGGGACTACTTCCGGCTGTTGATTGCATGCAGTAGTGAGTATTAAAGACAGCATGACTGTATATGTGGGATTTACTCAAAATGAATCCAGTTATAAAGGCAGCAGTTGTTAGATGGATCAATTCATATTTGAGTTTTGGTCCTCTCTTGGAATTTGTTGACAAGAAAAATACACTAACAATTTCTTAGACCATGGCGATGACTTTCCGTGATAAAGTCTGGGAAGTGGCGTATTGCATTTTGTCCATCTCTTACACACAGTATCTTAGGCATTTTCACAAAATGTTGGTCTGTGTTGTGGATCTTTCAAGTGTTTAAAAATTACACCCCATCTGCAATTCTGTTCTGGATTTGTTAACATAGCACTGACTATGGGTGATCAAAACTTTAGGCACTAATGCATCTCACCACTGATCTGGCATTTTGAGTTTTTGATTTCTGGTCTACTGAGCCCCGACCAGCTCATGGCAGAGCATTCCAACATTGTATTACTCATCTACTGTATGTCAGATACAAAATCTCTGATGCCTTGATCCAATTTTGATGACACTGGGGCAAATGATGTGTCTCACAGCTCGATTTCAGCATTCAAAAATACTCTGATTATTGAGAAGTTGAACTGCAGTTTGAGCTAAAAACAAAATTACATCCAGGTCAAATCTTAGTTACTCTCTCAGATGTAATACTTCTCTCTGCTCTCATACTGATTTTACATGTAATTGGCTCTCTTCCACATTGTCCAGATAAGACAGAAAAACATGTCGGCATGAACATCAAACTCCGCCTGGCAGAGGAGGGGGAGCTGGAGGAAGGAGCAGCCAGAGGGCCCACCCTGGAGTTTGTCTTGGAGAAAGACGAAGTGCTGCTTCAGGAAGAGGAGCTTGGAGAAGAACGACAATCGCAGCAGCAGCAGAAGTTTTGTGCAAAGGCAACAGAGAACGACAGAACTGAACCATGTTCGGCAGATTCATCTCAAACCCCAAACTCTGGACCAAACACAAATCCTTGACTGCTGCAGATCACGAAGCAGCCAAATTTCTTAACACTGATCCCTCGTCAGTTTCTGAATGGCATGTGCCTCAGAGCCCCTCACTGCCCTACAAGGAGCCCTGACTGACCCAGCCTGCATGTTTACAGCCGATGGAGGAGGATCAAGCACTGCAATGGCCACACTCACATCCTGCCTTGACTTTGAAACATAAAGACGGCTCTATATTTATTAGACAGACAGTCAAGTGTAGCTCTTATTCTGTGTGGTGCAGAAAATGAGGGCTGTTATGATCTCATGTGACTAGACTAGGTAGTTAATGGCCAAAAACTGTAGGATGAGATGGCTGGGTTGGTGCTACCTAAACCTAGCCTGTAGTATTGCTACTGTAGGTACATAGAAGGTGTACGTGATGATATTGACATAGATTATTAACTAGAATTTAAAATTACCTCATCTTAGAGGAGATAAGGCAACAAAAATGTACTCCGCTATGTTTTTATGCAATGCTGTTTGTTTTCAATCTAGACTGCACCTTTTACATCAACAAGTACTGTTAAATATTTAGTAATGATGAATTACTGGCCAGTAGGTGGTGTTAGCTACCATGGCCTCAGTAATATAATGTTGGTAGATGAAGTAGAAGAGCTGGGGCCAATTTGGAAAGTTTATTTTACTTTTTAATAGGAAGCAACTTCAGGGAATTTCAAGAGTGAATGCAGTTTGCTAGGTTGACCCATTTGATGAGACATTTGTGTGTGTGTGAGTGTGTTCTGCATTTCCTTTTTTTGCTAATATGTGTGTGAGTGTGTGCGTGTGTGTGCAAAGGTGTGTAATAACTATAATACCCAAGAAAGCATCTCAGCTGAAACATCATTGCTATTAGATGGAACCCTCCAATCTTTACAAATTCATCATCCAAGAAATAAAGAATGAAAAGTCTGTTAGATTGATCACCATGAACCTTTTGATATTCAGTTTGGATTTTTTTTAGCTACTTTTTTTTCTGCACCGATAAATAACTGTGTAATCATTGTTGAGTTGTAATTAATATGTCATCTTAAAAACATTGCAAAAATCACCAAAGCTGTTTTTTTTGCAACTAAAGTCTACATGCACAGTAACTCTGGTTAACTCCAGATGCAGCATCACAGGTTGGTCTGCTGTCTCTGGTCATCTGTGGCAGATTCAAGCAGAAATTACCAATTCAGCCTGTCATTGCATTTGTGTGTGTGTGTGTGTGTGTGTATGTTGTAATACTGATGTCTGGTAGGATTGCTGGAGTACTGCAGAAGCATCATTCAAAATGCTAACTGTTTCACTGTAAAGGCTAATTGGATCATGCACATTGTTTCCAAAATATGACTAATACAGTTGTACTCCACAAATTTCTTGGATGCACTTTTGATCCAGTTTTGTTGTTTCTTTTGTCAAGACTTAAGACTTCAGATTTATTCATCTTTCTGTCACTCGCACTCTACACAAACAAAATAGTTTTTTGGGCATTATTATGTGTAATAATTTTATGCAACAAATGAGAATAGAGTAACTCTTTAATCGGTTTGTTCACATTCACTCGTTTTATTCTCACTATAAATCACTGCATGTGTTTTGTCTTTGTTGTACGTGAAATGTGAGCTGAAGTTTGTGTGGGGTTAGCACTTTTTGTGCCACGGTGTGTTTTCTTTGATGTTTGTACAGTGGGCCTTTTCCTGATGCTGCTGAGTTTATTTTGAGTCTTAATCCAACATGACATTTTATTTTTGTGTTAAGCCTGTATGAGGCACTGCCAACCCGTATACCTCAGGACTGTGTACGTTACTGTTCACACAGAGAAAAAGGACCATGGACAAGAAGTAGGGGATTGTTTTTTATTATTTTTCTTGCTATTTAATTTTGTTCTGTTTTCTAAGGTTTCTGTTGATTAATGGCTATAGCTCAAAAAGTGCCAAAAGAGATGCACGACAAGTCTCTGGTTTCTGTTACACATCTTCTCTGTATTCGGTTTCTGACTGTGAGCTGAGGCAGTCTCATCAATAAATTCAAACTGACAATTTTCCCCTTTTTACTTCTGTAATTTACTCTGCATTGTAACTGTAGTTGGAAACAACTGTACAGTTTAATTGCTGCACTCTTCAGACAAAATGCTATATAAGACAAAAACACTTTTTCTTTGGAATCATTTTCATCTATGAGAACATAATTTTAAATGACATTTAAAAGGAATACATTTTTTATTCTATTAAAGTATAATCAAGTCTTGAACTTGGCACTCAAACACAACTTGAATGCTCAAAGTGCTGAAGAATTTGACTGTAAAACTATATTTCATTGTATTCTACTTCAGTAAGTAAGTAAGTAAGTTTTTCCTATGACATATTCTTCCAGGGAAGAAATATGAGGATTAATTGTGTCCAAAAAGCAGAAAACAAAATGCTTATGTACTTGTATGGTAAACACACCGAATGTGAGATAGACATTGAAACCTTTTGTGCCAGATGGTAACAGCTGCCACAGAATACCACCATGACAAGAATGATGACATTTATGATAACGAGAGTGGGGATGCTGACGAGCAATGGAAAAACATTATACCGCAAAATGAGTCACATTTTGTAGTATGTTTTGTGTGGATAAGATGTGGTGCATTAAAATTCACCTTTTGTTCCTTAAAATTAAATGATAGATGTTTCCTACAGGATAAATGACTCATTTTATTTTCACAAAATTCATACTCAGTGTTGATATTCACTAGGAAGAATTATCTACAAGTACATGTTACGAGTAGTCACTTAAACTGATGCTGTCCAGCTGAAGGTTTTGTCTCTGCTCTGGTCACTGAATTTTGGCCTTTGTTTGGACATGGTCTTTCAGCTCTAAGCAAACAAACAGGTAACAGCTGCCTCAAACCATTTGGCTGTGTTTGAGAAAGAATAATGGAGTTAATGGGTTGATTGGATAACAATAGACAGAAATTATACGTGATGTTTGTTTATTTGATGTGTATTCATACCTCTTCAAATGTGTCCTGAGGCATCGTTTTACTGCACCTGCTGCACTGGCAAACCCCGTTTTATTCGCTTATTATCTTTCTTCCTCAACCATTATCTTCATTAGGTTATTATTAGCCCATCTAGGTTGCTTAATTAAGAATTGATTTAAAAAAAATGAATGACTTGTTGATAAACGTGTAAACTCACCAACACTAGAATAAGATGATCAGTTTGTATCAACACATGCCCCCCTCTCTGGTGGTGCTTAAACCACGTACCCAAGCGCATCCAATTACTTAAACCGGGTTTTCAACGTCATGGCGCTACACGTAATTCCTGCGTAGTGCCCTGTCTCCCAGTAAACTGCTGCCTTCAGGAGTAGTGGGGAAAAACTTTTATTACGGTGAAAGACATTTTAAAAAATGAATGCGAATGTGGAAATTTCCACCGGTGTTTTATTTGTCAAGGTGAGGGAGTGGAGACTGTATATCAAAATGTGAAGTTCAAAATGAATATTCCACTGCACATTTTAAGTAGGCTAATCACACTATAGGCTATTGCTGACATTCATTTTTACTCTAACATTTATATGCCATGTATGTTTGTCTTCAGTAGAAAACTAAAAACCATTTTCACCAAAACAACACTCAGAAAACAAAACACAAAAACAGCTTGCAATTGTATATTACTGTCATTCATGGACAAATTTTGATACATCAGGGCTCTATATACGCTGATATTTTTTTAGGAGTTTACGAGGAGACCGTGAAGGTAGCAAGTCAAACACGCACACATACAGGAGCACACACGCCCCCTCCCTCCCTGACTGAAGCTCCGCTATCTTTAGCACTGCCACGGATTACAGTGCGCAGTGTGTGGACAGACTGCTCCCCGGTGTAACCTGCTCGGCTTATCACTGTGTGTTTGTCGCGCTGAAGCTTTTCGCCCGCATCAAAAAACGAACACAAATAAAGACGTAAAACAAAAGCGATGGGGGAATGACAACAACCCTCGTCCCCGCCTGCGGTTCTCCGTCCCCGAGAAGACCCCAAGGATGCTGCTACTCTCCAGCCCGCGGAGCGGACGCCAGCGCCGGGCCTCGCTACTGCTGCTGTTCGCCGCGGTCCTGCTCTGTGTTGTCTCTGTAGGTGCTGGCCTCCCAGGTAAATACACATCACACTAACACGCACACTAACACCAGCACCAGCACCAGCACCAGACAAACCAATTATCCTCGATACCATAAGCTCATTTTCCAATAACCCGGGACTGTCTGTCTCATCGGTAAGGCATCTTTAACAAATGGTGAACAGGTGACAAACAGAAAGGCAGGGACTTTCTATCTCAAGAGCACAGACACGACTGTTTTTATGTATTTGTTATAAAGATAGCTGTTTTGGACAGGTTAAACAAGAAAGCAGGCCTATGCCTTTAAGCGGGTGAGAAGGGCACTAGGCAAAGACAATGGTGAAAGCAAAATAAATTCCTTCCTTGATAGGTGTCTCAGTGCATTTCCTCCTATTCACTGCTTTTAAAAAAGCTCACACATATTTCTTTTGACAATATTACACTAATCTAACCCAACTGAAATGGAGAGGGAATCTGTATTTGATCACTGATCCAGTCTTACTTTGACAAATGATGATTCACCATAAATCAGAATAATGGCATCTGCCTGTTACAGTGAAGTTACTAAGAGTGACATTTTAAAAACAACACCGCTTGAATAATTAATCTGAGCCACACAATTCAAATATTGGAAAAAGCAGTAGTGCAAGCAACTGTTTATACTTTTATATATTTAAACTGTAACATTTACATAAGCTGTAACTGAACATTGCTGAAAACTGGAAATTGTTAATTCCCATTTTTCTCAATTAAGTAACTTGTTAATCTGGAAACTGGAAATTGGTTTGAGTCTGATTATGATTATGAGTATGTGTATGTTTGATTCACAGTGATGTTTGCTGCTGATGTTTGCAGGGGAGATAATCTGTGTCTCAGTTTTTAACACAGAAACCCTGTGGGAGAACCAACAGATGGACTATCACATGTAATCTTTAGCCTTTATCTGGGAGAGAGAGAGAGAGAGAGAGAGAGAGAGAGACCCACAGACATGTTGCACACACACTGAACATTTGCTGCTTTGGTCTGGTCACAGATTTGTGTGAATTTATAGTTGTTCATATATTTTTTCCACTAAAACCCATCCATGCAGTCATCCAGCAGCTCGCTCCATCCCACTGAAGTCTGTGCATGAAATCAAAAGGGTGTGTAGCTTCATTGTTGCTCATACACAACAAAGAGGATGGAGGCCGTGATGCTGTTTTTTCCCCCAATAGGGTAAATTTGAAAAGTCCAGTGGTTTTCCCCCTCTCATCACCCTCAGATCAAAAATCTACCAATGCAAATGGAATTATTTTCTCTCTCAAGTGCCGAAGAAACAAAGTGAGAGTAGGAAGAAGACGTATTAGCTGATGCAGAAAAGTTTTCCAGTGTCAGAAAAAAATCATCATCTTGTACAAGCTGGAGACAAGACGAAGCTGTCAGTACACTGTAGTCTGTGACGTGTCTCTTGTTTTCCATGGTCAGGAAAAAGTAACGTTTCGGTCTCATCAGCAGTCGTAGGCTTTTGCCAGCGTGATGGGGGTTGTGAGTTCGACACGACACCTGTTACACTTGAATGCAGCTTGTCCATAGCAGCGTGTGACAGTATTGTCAGTATGTGGGCTATTGTTTTGTGTATGTTAAGTTGAAATCACAAGACGAGGCGGAATAACACTTTCTTTAAACTTTTTTTTTTTCAAGCCAGTGTGAAATGAGAGGGATTTACAGCACCGTTGCATAATGTAGCTGTACAGCAGTGTTAGCGGGATCATATCTACGCCACCACACTTTAAGGGACTTTATTAAAGACCATTAATTATATTGGAGGCGTCTACAGAACCTCAAAAAGCACATCCAGTAATGCAGTGAGTCAGCTCTCAGGGTGATACTGCTGGAGTGTGACAACAGCATGAAGTGCATAGCAATCAGGTGTTTGATTCACCAAACATCGACACATCACCATGTGTGAATATGCCAGAAAGCTTTCACAGAACATTGGGTTCTTGAGATGGATGTAATCCAAAATCTCCATAAACCCAATTAATTACATAAACTATGTCTAGTCTGCTGGCCAAGATACAAAATAATTATCTTAGCATGAAGAATTTGTTGTATAATTCAGGTTCAGCGGGGGTATTTTGAATTAGTAGCAAAAGAAAAGACACTTTTTTGCCACTAGAAAATCAAATTATTTGCATGTTCTTGCTTTTCTAATTTTAGCATTTCTCTGTAGACACATCATCTTCACTTCTCAATATTCTAATTCAGCCTGATCATTGTCGTGCTGCCACGTTTAAATGCCAGGTTTGTCATTCACCAAGCAACACATGGAATTGGTGTCATTATTATTCAGAGAGCAGCTGCCTCCGGCCTTTTCTTCCACCAGGATTAAACTTTAACGATTCATATCTTCAGTGTCACGCTCTGTCTCTCTTTTCACACGCACACACGGCGACTGGCCTTAGTGTTTTTCAGTCACCTCTTTTTTTTCTATTTTTTTTGTTATCTGTGTTGTATAGTGGGGATCAAGAGCAGAAAAACTCAGGTGGAACGACACCTGCACACTGCCAGGGGACAAACACACCACTAACTCAATGACCAAGTTCATATGTAATGATTCCTACCCTCATATGACTGGATATTAAGTTTTGTTTGCATATATTAGCGAGCAATTAAAAGAGTGTATGAGACAGATTTTATTTTCCTTTGGGGTTAAAGAGGAATATTTGATTCCTTTAAACTAATGAGAGCCATCAGATTGAAGTGGCTCTGTCCAGACCTGTCAATAATAATAATACTACCTCTAAAAGCTTTTGATGCAAAATCACTAAATCTCTGTTGGTTGAACAGTTGATAAGCTGCACGGTTATGACCAGACATCAGGAAACACAAGTAGTGACAATGTGGCTGGAATGAGGAACAAGGCGGTGTTTATCTAAAGATCTAAAAGGGCTTCTTTTTTTCAAAAACAGTAGACAGTGACGCAAATGATCGTCAGTAATACTCGGCCAAATTAATATACTGTATGGGTCCACATCCATATACATATCTTTATTTGTTTTTTACCTTATTTTTGATATGTATTATACGTGAACTCAGTGCCTCCAGGAAGTCATTTAGAAAATACAGTTGAAAACTAACAAGTGGTCTGGTTGCAAATGGACTTGTGATATTGCCTGTGTGGTCTTTGAGGGGGTTTGACAACCAGTGTTTCACGAGCAAGAGAGAGGTTATATGGTGGTAACCATCCTACTGAAATTATCTAACAGCCAGGAAAGACGTATTGATTCACCCCATTGTGGTCACTGTTGTCTCAACTTGGAGGTCTGACAAAAAAAAAAGGTGGTCAGCCAAGGCTTTGCTGTGGTCGCTGCTCTTAGCCCAATATTTGGCTTCTTCATGTGAGAGCACACTGTCGGCAACCAGACCTCCAGGAAACTGGAGGGTCATAATTGACTAATCAGCTTACAGATTGCTAACAGATATTTGATCAAATCAGAGTCATCACAGTTTTAGCTTGAATGAACACGATGCCCCTTCAGTTTTAGTTTAACCATAACCTGTTGTAACCAGCACTTTTTCTTTATCGAGCCCCATTTTGTGATGAAAACGGGCCAATTTGCTGTGTCAGCCGTTTTACATGCCCAGGTTTGCATTTGTGTGTAGCCACATCCTTACCAAGAATGGCAGCATCTTTGTTACACCGATGACACTTCTTCCTTCATGCTCATACCAAGAATTATGTCTGAAATCTAGTACGACGTTTTGAGGTAAATGTGAGCCAAAGTAGTCCGATCAATCTGGCAAAATATATGTTCCATTTCAAGAAATACCCAGTCCCTGAATCAGTTCTGAAAAAAAAACTGAAGTGTTGCACCACACTGCTCTAACATCTGAATCAGCCGAAGACCAACAAACATGATGACCCTGAAAAAGACAATGAAAAAAAGACTAAATGAAGCAGCTTCTATTTGCCACCTACATGTTGCCATTGTATAAATCCCTCTAACCTTTGTTCTGTTTGCTGCGGGGTGTGCTGCTCCGCTCCACTCCACTCTAATTATAATGACACAGTAATTATCCCTTGTGTAATGGGTTAGACTCGCCATTGTCTGACATGACAGAAGTTACTGCAACAGAAAAGACAAATGACAGACGCAGGGAGAGATAAGGCAGAAGAGACACGGCAGCAGCATGAGAGGAGACAAACAAAAACTCTACCGGGGAAGAAATTCTTTGACATTTTTTTGATTTGCTTCCTCCTCACCTTTATCTCTATTTAGTCACGCAACTACTAGTATATTTTCTGCCTCAGCATTATGATGTCTGTGTGTGTGTGTGTGTGTGTGTGTGTGAAACAGGTGCTAAGTCATGCCCCATTTTCCACCAACTGGATATTAAAAACTTTTTTTTTTTTTTTTTTTTTACATGTAGGAGTCATCGCATCAGATTGTGTGAGAACTTTAACACCTGTTACATGTAACTGACAAGGCAGACAGTTTCCACAGAATTAAACATCTAAATTAGACTCATGGCTTTCTGACACAGGGTTCTGAGAATTGAAAGTAATCTAGGTTGATGTTGCAGCTGTTTCCGCTACATTGTTAAAGACAGAGCTGACTGAACAATTCTATGTCTTTTTTTGACAGTTGACTTTGAAACCGATGCCTTGCTTCCATTTGTCAGTGTAAAGCCCGGCGCGAAAGCCAGAAGTGGTTTCAATGCCGGGGGCTATTTGCATTTTTTTCCAATACATTAAAAGAGATAGCTGTAAAATCAAGGCACTTCATCACGTTAATGCCAAAATTGATATAAAAACAGCTACAGGTTCATAGAGTTTTTATATGAAAGCTTCGAAAGCTTTTCAGCAGCGTTTCCACCTTGATGATGAATGACCAGAAGCCAAAAAGGATAGCTACCACTGAATAAACACTAAACAGTAAAACAAGAAAATCTCAGACAATGAAAAATTCATATTGCCACATGGTTTACACCGTATATCATCATATGGCCTAATCCTAATTCCCAGCATGCAATAGCAGTGTTTGTCATCTGA